ACACAGATCTCCTTCAGCATTCTTTCTGTCCTGTCAGCTTGGCTTCCTAATACAGAGAGAACCTGATTTTTCTATATTTCAGTGCTTCTAATGTATATACAATATATGTATAAATATCTATATTCCCAATATCTCGACATCAATTTGAAGCCATTGTTCTGCGTCCTAGTCTCCAGGCCGGCAGAAAAAAAGCTTGCTCCCTATGACCTCTCCTCACATATTGATACATGGCCTTCATCATGTTTCCTCTCAGCCTTCTCTTCTGTAGGCTAAACATGCCCAGCTCTTTAAGCCGCTCCTCATAGGGCTTGTTCTCTAGACCCATGATCATTTTAGTCGCCCTCCTCTGGACACATTATATGGCAGTGTGGACTCAGATAACCCAGTTCAAAGCCGATATTGTGGGATTTTTTATGCCTTGATATTCTGGGTTATATGGCTTTGTGGAAGGGCCTTCAGTTAACCCGCACCCATGCCGGATAAATATATATTTTTGGTTGTTTGAGAGTTATATATTTAAAGGGCCGAACATACTATACCAATGCCATAAACTCTGTATCGACTTCATGTTGAAATACAGTAATTAAAAGCAAATAAAAGGAAACAATAGAACAAAATTTTGCTGTTTTTACCGTGTTATAAATTGCCTTTACTTGCTTTTATAATTTATTCTATTTATTTTATTATTATTTTGCTGTTTGCTTGAGTGCTGCTTAAATGAGAGCCTACTATATATTACATTAATGCATTTGTGGATAAGCCTGTCTAAAAAGCATAAGGGCCCTTCCATGCAGCTATATAACCCAGAATATCAAGGCAGAAAATCCCACAATATCTGCTTTGAACTGGGTTATCTGAGTCCACACTGCCATATATTCCAGTTCAAAGCAGATAATGTGGGATTTTGTGTAACTGTGTGAAAAGGGCCCAAGGAAGAGTCAGATTAAAAATGAGCTGCTTCCAAAAAAGGGAGGCAGAAGGAAGGCTTTTTTTGGCTGTCCTACTCTCAGTAATGGAAACAATAGTGGCATTCTGCCATTGAATATGGATGGATTGGTATGCATACTCTATACACCCAGGATGTGCTTGCACTGTAGGTTTAATGCAGTTTGGCAGCATTTTGACTGCTATGGATCAGTCTTACAGAATCATGAGAGTTGTCGTTTTATAAAAAATTGTTCCTTCTCCTCCAAAGTGGGATGGTACCAAATTACAATTCCCAGGACTCCATAGTATTGATCCATGGCAGTTAAATTGGTGCCAAATGGCATTAATTCTGCAGAGTAGATGTGCTCAAAGTCATACTGCTTTTGACTAATTCCCTTTTTAAAATTTTACAAACCTGTAATAATAATAATAATGATAAGAAAGCCCTGCTTCTCGAGATTGAATGTCATTTGCTTATATATTCTGCCTCTTTGGAAAAAAGCAGAGATACCAGTCTGGTAGTGATATATTTTTAAAATTGGATATTTCTTTGCTTTAATGTTTAAACTTTTCTGTGAAATATATAATAACATGCATTGTGTCATTTTAAATATTAGTTTGCTAATAATAAAAATATTTAAACCATATTTACTATCGGATTTTATCATCTGTGACACATTTCTGTAATCAAGTATTGTATACTGAGTATATTTCTTCAAGCCACCTGTGTACTTCTGGCTACCCAATTAATTTCATGGGCTTTTCTTAGCTAATTATGTAATGTAATAATAATAAAGGTAAAGGTTTTCCCCTGACATTGTCCAGCCGTGTCCGACTCTGGGGGGTGGTGCTCATCTCCATTTCTAAGCCAAAGAGCCAGCATGGTCTGTAGACACCTCCAGGTCATGTGGCCGGCATGACTGCATGGAGCATTGTTACCTTCCCGCTGAAGCAGTACCTATTGATCTACTCACATTTTAATGTTTTTGAACTGCTAGGTTGGCAGAAGCTGGGGCTGACAGCAGATGCTCATGCCGCTCCCTGGATTCTAACCTGCGACCTTTCAGTTAACAAGTTTAACAGCTCAGCAGTTTAACCCACTGCACCACAAGGGGCTCCATAATAATAATAATAATAATAATAATAATAATAATAATAATAATAATAAGCTTTATTTATATTCCGCTTTATCTCCCTGGAGGGACTCAGAGCAAATTACGGAACACATATAAGGCAAACATTCAATGCCTTTTTACACAAACAATGACATACAATACATAGATAAGGTAAAGGCCATCCCCTTTTCCATTTCCGGTGTCTGGAGGCAATGCTCAACTTCCAGCCATGGGGAGGTGCTCTTGTTCCATTTTCCATGCCGAAGGAGCCTGCTGTCCATGGACATCTCCGATCTTTTTGTCAGCATGGTTGCATGGGGAGCCCTTTTAACCTTCCCACAGAGGCAGTACTTATTGATGTATTCACATTGCATGCTTTCGAACTGCTAGGTTGGCAGAAGCTAGGACTGACAGCCGGGAGCTCACCCCAACTCACGGCTTCAAACTATTGACCCTCTGGTCAGCAGCCTTTTCTGCAGCTTGCAGCTTTAACCGCTGTGCTACTACAGCCCCTATCTAATATTTAATATTAATATTGTGTTACAGTCAGCCCTCCATACTTGTGGATTTTACTTTTCTGGATTTGATCTTTCATGTATTTCATGAAAATGTTCTCTGTAGGTCCCCTGGTGCAACTTTATGTCCAACCTCTGCCATAAGTTGATCATAGAGTCATGTTGAAAGATAAATAAGTTCCTAGTGAGGAATCTCTAGGTGTTTCAGTGCCATTCTATGGTCAATATTTGATGAATTGACCACAGAGTTGTACCTAACAACCTAATGATTTCTAGAGAGGCGTTCTGTCAGGTGACCACATTCCTAGGCACTAAATAGACCTGATCTTGATTATCTTTTGACATCAGAAGGGATCTCTTGCCCCCCATTTATGAGTTTCCCTATATCCTTTTGAAGTTTATGAGGCTGACCATCACTTAGTCCCCTTCTACACTGCCATATAATTCAGATTATCAAAGTGGATAATCCACATTATTTGCTTTGAACTGGATCATATGAGTCTACACTCAGTGTAGACTCACATCATCCAGTTCAAAGAAGATAATGTGGATTATCTACTAATATCGAGCTATAATTTAGAGGCTCCCACCCAGGAGAGAGGAGCCCTTAGACCCACCAAAGAGGATCCGGAATTCTGGTGAGCAAAGGGAAAAGCCAATGGAATTTTTCCCAATAAAATCTCACCAAAATTGAAGAAAAGCCACCAAGTTGTATTTATTTCGTCCAGCTGGTATGGATATCAGGCCACTCCTTAGCCTGATAGATGTATTGTGTCCAAATTTGGTGTCAATTCGTCCAGTGGTTTTTGAGTTATGTTAATCCCACCAACGAACATTACATTTTTATTTATGTAGATAAAGGCATTATTATTACTGTTATTATTAAATAAAAGGTTATATATTTTCTAACTCTTTCCTCTGCATAGGTGTATATTTTGGGCCCCATCTACGCTGCCATATCATGCAGTTTGAAATGGCATGATATGGCATTGTAGATTTTGGTCGTGTCAGGAGTCGCTCCTGTTGTGAGAGAATTGGCCGTCTGCAAGGACGTTGCCCAGGGGACGCCCAGATGAATTGATGTTTTTATCATCCTTGTGGGAGGCTTCTCTCATGTCCCCGCATGAGGAGCTGGAGCTGATAGAGGGAGCTCATCCGCCTCTCCCCGGATTCGGTTAAAGCCCTGTCCGGCAGGATTGAAGACCAACAGGCATTGTAGATGGAGCCTTGCTATCTGCTGGCGTTTTGTTTCAAGACCTTTTTGGATACCAAAATCTTAAGATGCTCAAGTTCCATCCCATGCAATGCCACAATAGTAAAATTGTGTCGTGTATATAAAATGGCTAAATCAAAGTTGGATCTTTGAATTTTTTTTTTTTACTATTTTAAAGCCATGGATGGTTGAATCCATAGATATGGAGGCCTATGTGTATTTGGATTTTTTTTTAAAAAAATTGTTTTCTTTTTATTCTTGTTTACTGTGAAGGACGAGGAATCATAGTATCATACATTTGGGCCATCCAGTCCAACCTCTTGCCAAGAAGCAGGAATATTGCATTCAAAGCACCCCTAACAGATGACCATCCAGCCTCTATTTAAAAGCTTCCAAAGAAGGCGCCTCCACCACACTCCGGGGCAGAGTGTTCCACTGCTGAACAGGCTCTCACAGTCAGGAAATTCTTCCTAATGTTAAGGTGGAATCTCCCTTCTTGTAGTTTGAAGCCATTGTTCTGTGTCCTAGTCTCCAGGGAAGCAGAAACAAGCTTGCTCCCTCCTCCCTGTGATATTTATATATCTCAAAACAACAACAAAAACTAAAAACAAAATAAAAAACTAGGTTCTTGTGGGTTTTTTCGGGCTATAGGGCCATGTTCTAGAGGCATTTCTCCTGACGTTTCGCCTGCATCCATGGCAAGCATCCTCAGAAGTAGGGAGGTCTGTGGGAATTGGGACAATGAGTTTATATATCTGTGGAATGGCTGGGGTGGGGCAAAGAGCTCTTCCCTGCTGGAGCTAGGTGTGAATGTTTCAACTGATCACCTTCATTAGCATTTGAAGGCATGGCTGAGCCTGGGAAAATCCCCTGTTGAGAGGTGTTAAGATGTGCCTGGTTGTTTCCTCTCTGCTGTTTTGCTGTTGTAATTTTAGAGTTTTTTTAATACTGGTAGCCAGATTTTGTTCATTTTCATGGTCTCTTCCTTTCTGTTGAAATTGTCCACATGCTTGTAGATTTCAATGGCTTCTGTGTAGTCTGACAACCCCAAAACTCCCAAATTAATGCTACCTTATTTCTTTGCTCTTGGGCAAAGAAGGCTGAAGACCTTGAAAAACTACATTCCCAGGATTCCATAGACAGGATCTACACCGCACTATAATCCACTTTCAGAGTATGGATTATCTACAGTATATTAGATTATATCAATCTACACTGCCCTATAATCCAGATCAATGAAGTTAATCCCCTTTCTGAAACTGGATTACAGGGCAGTGTAGACTGATATAATCCGGTTTACTGTAGATAATCTATATTCTGAAACTGGATTATAGGAAAGTGTAAGAGTAAACCGGATTACACATTACCCTATAATCCAGATCAATGCAGTTAATCCCCTTTCTGAAAGTGGATTACAGGGCAGTGTAGACTGATATAATCCGGTTTACTGTATATAATCCATATTCTGAAACTGGATTATAGGAAAGTGTAAGAGTAAACCGGATTACACATTGCCCTATAATCCAGATCAATGCAGTTAATCCCCTTTCTGAAACTGGATTATAGGGCAGTGTAGACTGATATAATCCGGTTTACTGTATATAATCCATATTCTGAAACTGGATTATAGGGAAGTGAAGAACCAACCCCAGAACTCTCTTTCTGTCCAAGTGTGTTGGTTCCCCCATTAAACTACAGCTCCTATGAATCCAGGGCATTTAAAGTGCTGCCAAATTGCATTAATTCTACAGTGTGGACGCGCCCAAAATCAGTGGGGTGGGGATGCTTGATCAATCCATCTTGAGCCACTCTGTCGCGTCCTTAGCAACTGTTTGCGCGGGAATTTTTGTTGCTATTGCTGTCGTTCCTTTCGAACATTGGGCCATGACATTGATTGGACGCCGGGTCTGTCACTTACAGGGTACTCACGGCCATTGGCTTTCGAAGGTCTCCGCCTCCTCGTGTTCCGCCTTCGGACAGACCTCGAGTCTCCAAGCTTTCGCCTCGGGGGAAGTTTAGCTGAGCGGCCGAGAAAGGGCTGGAGCCTCTTGCTAGCACCAGGGGTACATGGAAGGAAGAGCAAGGCAGCCTCCGAGCATGTGCAGAGTGTATTCCCCTCTGGGATAGGTAACCACACTTCACTTCTGGCTTCTTTTTGAGTCGACTGCTCCACCCCCAAGTATTGGATTTTCTAGGATGCATCTGCACTGTAGAATCAATGCAGTTTGACTCCACTTGAACTGCCATGGCTGTGTAGAGTCATGGGAGCTGTATTTTGCTTAAGGCAGAGATTCAAGGTTGCTGTGAGTTTTCCGGGCTGCATGGCCATGTTCCAGAAGCATTCTCTCCTGACGTTTCGCCCACATCTATGGCAGGCATCCTCAGAGGTTGTGAGGTCTGTTGGAAACTAGGCAAGTGGGATTTATATATCTGTGGAATGTCCAAGATGGGAGAAAGCTTGTCTGCTTGAGGCAGGTGTGATTAGCATTGAATGGCCTTGTAGCTTCAAAGCCTGGCTGGTTGCTGGTTGCTGCTTGGGGAATCCTTTGTTGGGAGGTGTTAGCTGGCCCTAATTGATTATTGCCTGGAATTCRCCTGCKTTTTGAGTGCTGCTCTTTATTCACTGCCCTKATTTTAGAGGTACGGGTAGTCAGATTTTGTTCATTTTCATGCTTTCCTCCTTTCTGTTGAAATTGTCCACATGCTTATGTGTTCCAATGGCTTCTCTGTGTAGTCTGACACGGTGGTTGTGAGAGTGGTCCAGCATTTCTGTGTTCWCAAATAATATACTGTGTCCAGGTTGGTTCATCAGGTGCTTTTCTCTGGTTGAGTTAGTCTGCAGTGCCTTTCATGTTCCGTGATTCGTGGCAAGTGGGATTTATATATCTGTGGAATGTCCAAGGTGGGAGAAAGAACTCTTGTCTGCTTGAGACAAGTGTGATTAGCATTGAATGGCCTTGTAGCTTCAAAGCCTGGCTGGTTGCTGCCTGGGGGAATCCATTGTTGGGAGGTGTTAGCTGGCCCTGATTGATTCTTGCCTGGAATTCGCCTGCTTTTTGAGTGTTGCTCTTTATTCACTGCCCTGATTTTAGAGGTACGGGTAGTCAGATTTTGTTCATTTTCATGCTTTCCTCCTTTCTGTTGAAATTGTCCACATGCTTATGTGTTCCAATGGCTTCTCTGTGTAGTCTGACACGGTGGTTGTGAGAGTGGTCCAGCATTTCTGTGTTCTCAAATAATATACTGTTTCCAGGTTGGTTCATCAGGTGCTTTTCTCTGGTTGAGTTAGTCTGCAGTGCCTTTCATGTTCCGTGATTCGTGTTTGGTCAGTGCTGTGTTTGGTGGTAGACTTGTCCACAGCTGCACGGTATAGGGTAGACTCCTGCAGAAGTGAGAGGATCGCTCTTGTTCTTTGCTGAACATAGCATTTGTTGGATTTTCTTAGTGGATCTGTAGATAATTCTATTAATATGATAGATATAATTACGGATATTACAATATCTATCTATCATTCACACCTAGCTCCAGCAGACAAGAGTCCTTTGTCCCACCCTGGTCATTCCACAGATATATAAACCCATTTTCCTACTTCCAACAGACCTCACTACCTCTGAGGATGCTTGCCATAGATGCAGGCGAAATGTCAGGAGAAAATGCCTCTAGGACATGGCCATATAGCCCAAAAAAACCTACAACAACCCAATGTAATGTTCATTTGTGGGATTAACATAACTCAAAAACCACTGGACGAATTGACACCATATTTGGACACAATACACCTATTAGGCCAACAAGTGACCATCACTCATAAAAACACTGAAAAACACAACAGAAGATACTTAACACGCCAAAAAACAAAAAAATACATTACAACACATGCGCAAAACTACATATATACACAAATACATATATATACACATATACACAAATATATATACGCATATACACACAAAACACATATACACAGACTGGGCCACAGCAACGCGTGGCAGGGGATGGCTAGTAATAGTACAATTACGATAGATATTATGATAGATAGGTAAAGGCAAAGGTTTCCCCCTGACATTAAGTCCAGTTGTGTCCGACTCTTGGGGTTGGTGCTCATATTCATTTCTAAGCCAAAGAGCCAGCATTGCTCACATACACCTCCAGGGTCATGTAGTCGGCATGACTCAAGGAGCTCCATTACCTTCCCGCTGGAGCAGTACCTATTGATCTACTCACATTTGCATGTTTTCGAACTGCTAGATTGACAGAAGCTATGGCTAACAGCAGAAGCTCATGCCAATCCCCGGATTCGAACCCACGACCTTTCGGTCTACAAGTTTAGCAGCCAGCGGTTTAACCCACTGCGCTACCGTGGGGTCCATTATGATAGATATTATAGATAATAATAATAATAATAATAATAATAATAATAAATAATAAACTTTATTTATACCCCGCCACCATCTCCTCGATGGGGACTCGGAGCGGCTTACGTGGGGCCAAGACCAGACAACATAATACAACAAAATAAAATCAGAGCATAAACAATAAACATGAGGCTCCCATGTCTGAAATGCCTGGAAACAAACTTGTAAATTTTGTTGGATTTTGGAATATCTGTATTTGAATCCACATGCATAACAACAACAACAACAAAGGATTTGATAATAATAATGAGTGATCTTGGAGATGGGAACCCAAGTCTAAACATGAAAACCATTCATGTTTAATATATACTTTGTAGACCAGGACTGGGCAAACTTGGGCCCTCCAGGTGTTTTGGACTTCAACTCCTACAATTCCTAACAGCCTACCGTGGGAGTTGTGGGAGTTGAAGTCCAAAACACCTGGAGGGCCCAAATTTGCCCATGCCTGGCATAGGTGCATCCAAAGATATTGAAGTTGACCTGCTGAGTCCCAGATCTGACTTGCTGTTTATGTTTCTATTAGAGATGCTAGATTTTTTAGGGGAAAGCAGCGCCCGGATGCAGATGTGAGCATGTCATCCAAGGAGGGCCCCTCTTTGAAGGAGGCCTCTTTGGGGTCTTCGGTAACCCTAAGCCTTCCTGGGGTCTGCGAAGAGCTGAGCAAGACCTTTCCATGGACCAACAAGAAAAGGAAAAGTGGCCTCTCCAAGCTTTGCAAGAAGAAAACATCTTTGTCAGGTAATGTATTTGGCAGCACCTTCTTCTCAATCAAAAGTAGAAATATCCCTTTCAGCAACTTGGGCTATTGGATGGAACTATTTTACAAAGAAGTTGGTCTGGAAAAGGAAACATTAAAGCAGATTCCCCCAGATGTGCTGTACTACAAATCCCACCAATTCTTGGGCTGTAGTCAAAAACATATTGACAAGCAGGTTGGAGGAGACTGATGTAAGTTAATGGTAATTGTGGAGGATATTTACTGGAAAAAGGAGCAGTAGTGCATCATAAGTATCTTTGAGTTCTGGAGATATTTGTTTCCTAACATACATTTTTTTTCGTGTCAGGAGCTACTTGAGAAACTGTAAGTAGCTTCTGGTGTGAGAGAATTGACTGTCTGCAAGGGAGGCTTCTCATGATCCTGCATGAGAAACTGGAGCTGACAGACGGGAGCTCCTCGGATTAGGATTGTACTATTTCCTAACACAAATAAGTTATTATTATTATTATTATTATTATTATTATTATTTCCTAATTGATATTGTACTTTGAGTACTGCGTGCTTAGAGTGCTGTGGGAGCTCCTCGGATTAGGATTGTACTATTTCCTAATACAAATAAATTATTATTATTATTATTATTTCCTAATAGATATTGTTCTTTGAGTACTGGGTGCTTTGAGTGCTGTGGTGTTTACCTTTGAATATGTTTTGATGGATTTTAGTGCTGCTTAATTCTGTTTTAATGTTTGCATATTTGTATATTTTAAAGTGTATATGTCAAGCCACTTTGAGTGCCCTTTGGGAGAGGTAAAGCGAGGTATAAATAAATATAATAATAAATACAATTATTATTATTATTATTATTATTATTATTATTATTATTATTATTATTATTTCATCCCATGCCATTCATATAATGATTGCTATCCACTGCAGGTACCCTGTGCCTGTTCGAGATATTACTCCAAAGAAACTGATATAATTCTTGTTAGGGAAAACTATCCTAAAATATACAGCAGAGCATCCAAAAACAAACAGGATACACAAGTTGAGCATCAGTTCACTAGCGAGCAGAGCGTGAAGTGCTGTGTGATGTGGCTGTAAAGAATTTAGAGTTTAGGCAGGCAGAGTCTAATCTTAAAAAAATCACAAAAGATTTATTTACAATAATAAGAAATAAATAATAATCAAGAACTGGGTCTGAGCTACTCTTAACACCCATCTCCTCTAAGGTTTCATGAGAGGAAAAAAACTCAATCACTACATCTCTCCTGACACACAAGCAGAGAGAAATCTCAAAGCACACAACACACACTCTCCATACTAAGATGTAAGAAGGCAGAAGTCAGATTCAAAAAACTTGCAGTAGAAAAGTATCTATTGCCCCCGGTGGTGTAGTGGATTAAAGTGCTCAGCTGCTGAACTTGCTGACCGAAAGGTTGCAGGTTCGAATCCGGGGAGCAGCATGAGCTCCCGCTTCTGCCAACCTAGCAGTTCGAAAACATGCAAATGTGAGTACATCAATAGGTACTGCTCCGGCGGGAAGGTAACGGCGCTCCATGTAGGCATGCGGTCACATGACCTTGGAGGTGTCTACGGACAACGTTGGCTCTTCGGCTTAGAAACTGAGATGAGCACCAACCCCCAAAGTCAGGACACAACTGGACTTAATGTCAGGGAAAAAACTTTACCTTTACCTTAAACAACCAATCAGAATGAGAGCAGAACAAGAGAAGAGAGATGACAGAGATACATTCCCAAAGGTCATACAGGAGACATGGGGGAAGGGAAAGCCACAGACTATTCTAATGCTAACTAACTTCTCCTCATTGGGGGCTGCAGACTTGAGCAGTGTGGGATTGAATTCCAAAACAATTCTTATTAACTACGTCTTTGAATTAAAGAGTGTGCTACGAGTACCTTTTAAACTTCTTTCTGTTTGTTGTGTGCCTGAGTCCTTTCCCTGCGCTTTTATTAAGTTATATTTTTGGACCTGTCATTGCTGTGTTGAATGATTTATAAGCTGCTCTCCTGAAATATCTCTGATTTTGAGAAAGTTCCTTGTTTTCTTTTATCTTTAGAAAATGGATGGAATTCCTATTGCTTGTCTTCCTTGGCGGCCCGGAATATCTGTACCAGCAAACTTCACAGCTCTTGGACCCAGTTGAAATCCACTTCTCTCTCTTGTTCGATATGCAATGCCTCTTCCTGTTCCCTCTTAAACGTCCTGGCCTTGGGAGAATCTACTCAGGCCCTGCCAACGTCTATTCGTAATCCAAACAAAGCCATCTTTACTGTGGATGTCAGAACAACTGAGGTATGCTGGGATTTGCAGTGTCACCTGAGGATTAGATTTCTGTATACATAAATGTGTTCTCCACTTTTAAGTGAATGGTTGGGACTTAGTATACTTCATCTGTTTTATTATTCCATTGCCAACAACAGGAAGTTTTTTTTTTTACTTTTTAAAACAGTAAAAGGGAAATTAAATTCACTGTTCTTATTCTTCTCTTTTTAGATTCTAGTTGCAAATGACAAAGCTTGCAAGCTTCTTGGTTATAGTACCCAGGAAGTGATTGGCAAGAAATTATCTCAGATGATTTCAAAATCCAGTTGGGATATTATGGAAGCACTAAAGGAAGATCGTACTGATGCTGAAGAACATGAACACGTTTTTCCTGGAATAGTGGTGTGTGAGACATGGAATAAATGTTCTCTAACATATACATTATGTCCTCTATTTTATTCTATTTTTCATAGAGTTGAATAGCCACAAAAGAACAAGCCAGGCATCTACAGCAATCCTACTTGTGTTATTAGTGTTATTTTTACGTACATCCCACCTTTCATGTTGAATCTTAAGCTAGTTTATAGAATATTAAAACCAGAAATAAAACTGGTTTTGTTCAAGTGTAATGAAGTATTTTAAAATTAGCTTTGTAAAAAACATCTAGACATGCAACGAAAGAATCAAAGCATGCGCATTAGATTGTATATTTACAGCAAAAAAAATCTAGTGTTCAACTTTCTCAGTATACTGAAATAATAGGTCACGATGCATGTATAGATGTATAATGAATATGGATTTTTTTAGCACAACCATAATATGTATACATAAATTCAGGAACAAGACATTTTAATTTAAGATTAATAGACTGGCTGCATGCTCATTCAGTCTGCTGATGTGTTGAGAATAGTCTTTGAGTTGATCCTTCTCAATTTATATTTTCAAAAAATGTAATAGACTTTTAGTTTGGAAATTTAGCTTGTTGGTAAGAGAGACGTAATCTTGTCTTGTTTGCCTCTCTCAAGACTTGGGCCCGCTCACTGTCATTATGTTTGTTTATTGCTTTCTTATGCTTTGTGTATATTGCTTATTGTATTCATATGTTTTGTATTTTACTGCAATGTTGTTTATTTTTTGTAATTTGTATTTTATTTTATTGTAATTTGTTGTTTGGGCTTGGCCTTATGTGAGCTGCCCCAAGTCCCTGTTGGGGGAGATGGTGTCGGGGTATAAATAAAGTTTGCTATTATTATTATTATTATTATTATTATTATTATTATTATTATTAAGACGTTGAGGTTGAGGCCAGCCAATCCTAAACTCTCTGGCCATTGCAGTGCAGCCCTATACATTGTGTATTTATAATTTGTAGACCTGGGATTCATTGAGAGACTCCCAGTTGACCATAACAAGGTTTAACAATTAACTTGGGTTTTCTCCCAGAGAAGGGATTGCTTAGCCTACTACTGTGCTTTTTAGCAGCAGGCCCTAAAATATGAATATATCAATATGTGAAGTTTTTACAGCATGACTAAATGTGTGACATCTTTTTGCTCTCATATATAAAGTTTTGGATTTAATGCATGAAATGTGGGTATTTGATTTTAACTAAATAAGAAAGAGCCTTGCTTTTGTTCGTTAAGATTTTCTGAAATAGATAAGAATAGTTGAATATGTTTTATCATATGCACAAAGAGGTTATCCTCAGTTCCATAAAGTGTCAGTTTGAGCTTTTTATATACTAGTTATTTGGCCTTAAATTTTGCAATCCAGTTGTACAAACTTTGCTGAGCCCTGTTGAATTTGAGATGGACTGCAGCTGTAGGCAGATTTCTAATTTTTAAAATCTTCCAATGTTGTGTTACATATTTGCAGTTGTTGTATAATGATATAACATTTTTTCAACAAATTTGAAATTGGGAAATTTTATTTCAGAAAGTCTTCTCGCATGACATTTATTTATTTATTTATTTATTTATTTATTTACTTCGCTTATATACCGCAATTCTCAGCCCAAGGGCGACTCATTGCGGTGTACAACATAGAAAAACAGGTGCAAAATACAAAACATAGTGTAAAATAATCCACAATTCATCATTATCAGAAAACATCTCATCAAAACATCAACATTACTACAAAAGCCATTCCGAGTCGTCTCATCGTCAAACCCACAATCCGATATCATTTCCGTTGTTCCATTCCTATGGTCAAATTACCAGTCATTGCACTTCTTGTTCAAATGCCTTCTTAAACAGCCAGGTCTTTAACTTCCTGCGGAATATCAACAGGGAGGGAGCTAGCCTGATGTCCACGGGAAGGGTGTTCCACAGCCGAGGAGCCACCACCGAGAAGGCCCTATCTCAGGTCCCCGCCAGCCGTGCCTGTGACGCAGGCGGGATCGAGAGCAGGGCCTCCCCGGAAGATCTCAAAGTCCTCGTGGGCTCATAGTCTATCCATTGCTGATCTCTAGCAGTGTGGCACATAATTGCCAGTGTCAGTTGTGATCTTTGGCAAGCAACTGTTCCTTATCTACTGTTCCAGTATTGAGCTTTTTTTCATGTCAGGAGTGACTTGTTCAAGTCGCTTCTGGTGTGAGGAATTGGCCGTCTGCAAGGACATTGCCCAGGGGATGCCTGGATGTTTGATGTTTTATGATCCTTGTGGGAGGCTTCTCATGGCCCTGCATGGGGAGCTGGAGCTGACAGAGGGAGCTAATCCACGCTCTCCCTGGATTCGAATCTCTGACCTGTCTGTCTTTAGTCCTGCTGACACAAGGTTTAACCCATTGCGCCACCGGGGCTTCTAGTATTGGTCTAATAGCACTGTTAACATTTATTTAAAAGGTAACAGCTGTGAGACACTCAGAATACTCAAACTTCTATGTAAATAAAAATTGGTCTTTTAAAAATGTGTGTGCGTGTGTATACATGCACACACCTACATACACACACCCAAATGAACCATGGAGCTTCCAGCTCTGTGCACATAAAAGGAGTTTCATGTCAATTACTCAGCAAAGGCCCAGGCACAGCCCTTGAAAAATACTCATATAATAATAAAAATATGATTATAACCCTTATGGATCCATGTAGAGATTTAGGCATGTTGGTGAAGCCTGCTGAAGCATTCTTTTTATAACTGATACAGATCTATGGCCATAATCACTTAATATATATTCTTAAGTAATGTAAACTGCATGCTCCAAAACTACAGAACTAAATGCAAACAAGTATGTAACTGGATTGATTAAATTCTGTAGTTTGCAGATAGGAAGTTTAACGATGTGCTTTATTTATCCATAGGCAGATGTTATTTCCTGTAGCAATGAGAAGATCCCAGTCTCTGTTTGGACCAGAAGAATTAAAACACATCAAAATAAATACTGTGTGGTTGTTCTGGAGCCGGTGGAAAGACTCTCTGCCACTGTTTTTTTCACAAGCAATGTGAGTACAGTTACTTAAAAGATGTTGTAATATAAGATGGGTATTAAAGGAGTTAACGGAAGCAGTTTTGATTTTCAGCAACACAAACAACATGACCTGTTGGCAGCTGTAATGGTTTAACCCTAAATTTATGCCTGCCAGGTGGTTCTTCTGTTCTGTTATTTAAGATCCCTGGAGTTTTGTATTGACACAAAGGGGCTGCAGAGTTTTGTGAAGCACTTTTGAATGTAAATGAGCTTTTAAACAAACATTTTTTACATTGTATTCTCTGCTTTCTTGGATGTCTGTTGTAAGACAGAATGACATTATATATTATAAATGGCTAGACCTTGGAGAATAAGGAATCCACATGGAAGTTCATTATCCATTTTATAATGGTGGTTCTTTAGGGCCTCTCATGTTACTTTCAATATTGTCAAAATGTTTTTGGATTGAGATCTTTGCAATTATAATTCTGTGAATCTCTCTCATCTGAAGGGAGAGATTGTTTCCTGCGACCTGCTTTTTGCTCAGCTTCATGGTTATGCCGCCTCGGAAGATGTGATTGGTCATTACATAACAGACCTGATTCCTTCTATTCAAATCCCTACTCCTGGCAAAAAAATACCCCAGGTACTGTATTGTAAATTATTGACACTTGTTCTCTTGAATATCACTTGGGCACAGCATTTCTGCATAGACTTATTTATATGTAACTGTAAATTTGTGATAACAAATTGAGGCCTCCTCCCAGTCAGAGTTCATTGGGTTTTCTTCTGAATATTTGTATTTGCTTAAACATTCATTACCATATGACAATAGGCTTCTTCTTTCAGAATATCAAGATTCAAAGATCTGTTGGCCGAGCGAGGGAAGGGACAACATTCCCGCTCAGCCTAAAGCTGAAAGTGAACTTGCCTGATCAAGAAAGTATCCCACTACTAGATAACAATGAGCCCGAAGTTGAGGCTGACATTTCAGAAGACCACACAGCATCCTTCCCCATGAATTGTTCTTTCTGTGCCACCATCTGGGTGTTTACAACCATCAATGGATTGATAACTGTTCAAGCCGACGGTACAATTTATGGAATCAGCAACACATTTTCTCTAATGCTGTTTGGTTATGAGAAAAAAGAGCTACTAGGACAGGTAACTATATTGTTGCCAGTAATATTTAGCATACTTTTTTCTTTGTGTCAGGAGTGACTTGAGAAACTGCAAGTCGCTTCTGGTATGAGAAGATTGGCTGTCTGCAAGGATGTTGCCCAGGGAATGCCTGGATGTTTTGCCGTCCTGTGGGAAGTTTCTCTTGTGTCTCCTCAAGGGAAGTTGGAACTGACAGACGGGAGCTCACTCCACTCCCCAGATTCGAACTGCCAACCTTTCGGTCAGCAGTCCTGCCACACAAGGGTTTAACCCATTGCACCACAGGGGATGCTTCTCATCTATCACACTTCTGTCACATAATAGAAACACAAATGGCTTTCTGCTGCTTAGGTTTGATTGAATATTGAGCAATATGAGATCACATAATTGTATGTCTCTTTTATCCAGTCTTAGATTGTATTGGCATCAATTTTTATGGAATGAGGGAAAGTCCATAGACTTTATCTTGTTTAATTCTGTATTCTAGAACATCACATTTTTGATTCCTGGTTTTTACAAGTATATGGACAAAGCTGGGAACTCCTCTCTGCAGCTCCAGAGGTCTAGAGGAAGTTCTGATGCAGAAAATGAGAGCAAATTAAAAAAACCCCGGGTGGATGGCTGTAGTACAGTGGAAATTAATGAAGGTTAGTTTATGCAAGTAGTGCCCCAAACACTACTTGTCTCTCTCTGTCTCTCTTCCTTAAAGGTAGGTTGTCACTGTCTCTCTTCCTTAAAGGTAGGTTGTGTAATGCACATGGTGTATCCTTTATGCTTGTATAATGCATGTTGTGTACCCTTTCCTCTTTGCTTTGGCATATCTCTTCCCAAAAACAAAACAATGCCAATGTGAAATTAAAAGACAACATGTATTGATTTGAGCTTACTGGAGAATGTTGAGCTGAAAGTGTCCCTTTGAATTATGCTTTCATTTATTGTTTCATTTACACCAGTGGTTCCCAACCTTTTTTTGACCAGGGACCACTTTGACCAACATTAGTACCAAAAGGGTTGTGAATCACTTTTTGATCAACTTTAGATTTGGGCTGCTGATTCAGAAATTTGCATTGGATAGACCACAGCAGCTCTAGTGTCTGATACAGAACATATGCCTTAAATAATAAATAATAATATGAAAATATTAGAAATATTTACTGAATTTTTAACACTTTAGAATATTGTGTTAATCTCATGTCTTGAAGCAAAATATTATGGGACTTCTGGGGCCATACAAATGCTGAGTATGCCGAAAGGATCATTGCATTGTTTCTTTGATTCAGGAATCGCTCCGTACACTACTGGGGATATGTCTTCGTTGGGCCTGCAAGAACAGGAATTAACTGGGAGCGATGGAGCACAGTTCCATAATGGGAATGGTACCCAGCAGAGAAATGGTGGCAGTTTGCTTACTTTTTTGTCACCTCCACCACAAGCATCCACGCCAGTTAATGGGTATGTTTCATACAGGTGGCATTTAACCAGTAACAAATGTATATTAGGTTGTGAATGTTATATCGTAGGATGGAAAATATATTGAAGAAGATTCTCCCTTATTCTGCATAACATAACCAGTTAATGTTTTTCCCAGTAGAGATTCCACAGTTAGCATGAATGTATCTGCTGCTGATCAGGTTCTGCCTTCTGAGAGACTATCTGAAGACTGCACCGATCATCAGGCAAGAAAGCCAGCTAACACCCAACAATGCGAAATCTCTTCTTTAAATAAGTCTCAATGTGAACTCTGTCTGTTAGAAAGTAGAACTGAGCAACAAGAAAAGGATCTTGTCAGGAAAAGTTGTGGCCTGCTTCAGGGAGAAGAAGAAGGTGATGCTATAGATACCCACAGTTTTCGTTTTCCACATGAAAGGATGGAATCTGTCCCAGTAATAAAAAGTGATGGAGCAGAGTTCCAGAAAAGGGAAGAAATACTGCAGGATGTTGAATTTAACCCACCTTCACTTGTGTTGCCACAGGCAGAGGTGTCTACATCAGTGAACAGGTAGGTTGTGTACACATGAGTGGGAAGCCTTTTAAAAAAAGACGTGTGTGCGCGTGCATGTGTGTGTGTGTGTGTGTGTGTATATATATATATATATATCATTAGATATTAAATTTGAATATATTAACACATATATAACTGAAAATATATAATACATCCAACAGCACCACAAAGCACAGAAAGACATTCCTGTATATACTCGTGTATAAGCCAACCCGAATATAATTCGAGGCACCTAATTTTACTACAAAAAACTGGAAAAACGTATTGACTCGAGTATAAAACCAGGATGGGAAATGTAGCTACTACTGGTAAATTTCAAAATAAAAATTGATACCAATAAAATTACATTAATTGAGGCATCAGTAGGTTAAATGATTTTGAATATATACATCAAACTGTAATTTAAGATAAGACTGTCAAACTCTGATTAAACCATTATTCTAACCTTCTTCAATGTAAATGTGCATACATATCCTTCCAATAATAATAAAGAGAGCAAAATAATGGAAATATAATAACAGTAATAATAGAGTAAAATAATAACAGTAATAATAGAGTAAAATAATAAATGTAATAACAATAATAAATAGAGTAAAGTAATGTAATAGTAATAGTAATAATAATAATAATAATAATAATAATAATAATAATAATAATAGAGTAAAATAATAAATGTAATAATAATGATAACCCAGCAAAATAATGAATAACTTTGACTTGAGTATAAGCCGAGAGGGGCTTTTTTAGCCTAAAAAAGGGCTGAAAAACTCTGCTTATACTTGAGTATATACGATAGGTAAGCAGAAGGAAGTAGTGCTATCTGATACAAGCCTCACCTTTATCACTAGTGTAAAAACTGCCACCCGTCACCTATATATCTATTTGTTTGTACCCTACATTGATTTTCTATTTGTCAGGAAAACAGCATTTAATTTGTCTTTTAATTATTCTTTCATGCCGTACATTCTTATATTTAATTGATTCTTAATTTCTGTACTTTGTTATTTAAGCAACAAAACAAAACATTGTCCTTAAAATCTCATCTCTTTCTTTAACTTTATCAACAGTCAATTACTGTTCAAAACCTGTTGACATCACCTCCCCTTCTCAGTATTTAAATACAATCCAGTCTTTTGCAAACTGTTCATTGGGGTGTAGCTGAGTAAATTATTCATCTCTGCAGTGTCTAAGTATCTTACTAATCCATTCCTTCTCAGATGGAATCTTTGATCTTTTCCAATATTTGACAAAGAGAAATTTGTGCTTCTGTCACCATTTCTCGAGCTAGTTCACCAATCCCATTTTTCTGTATGATTGTCAATATAAAAAAAAAACAAAACACTTGGTCTTATCAGTAGCCAGAACTTTTTAGCTTTACGACAGTTCTGTCAAATGTGGAAAAAGCGAGAGAGAGCCTTGAAGTACAGTTGGACTCCCTTATCCATGGAATATGTTAGGATCAGGATTGCTTTGACTTACTTAGAAATAAAAACATTCATAATTTAAGTTGCTACAAATTCTGATTCCAAAGCAGACCTTGCTTCCAAGATGGAAGAGCAGATAGTTTCTGTGTGTGTGTGTATATATTCAGCATCCATCATCAGGTAATGAGCAGAATGCGTGAGCCGACTGTCATGGATCAAACTCCTCAGATATGAATTTGCTGCCTCTTCTGTCATCTCAAACAATACCAGTGGAATAATTGATTCATTGATAAGTGAGTCATCTAGTAATGTTCACGTCTGTGTGGTAAAGTTGCATTCTAACCATTTCTTACCATTTACTTGGAAATAAACATCTTAGATGATAGCCTAAAATTATCCTAGGGCTGCTTCAATTATTTTTCTCCCTTGAGATTCTCAGATGCATTGGTATTGTCTGTGTCATGCCATGTGATCAAGGAATGATTCATATGGCGCATGAGAGGAATTGCTTAGTTTGAAATATTTTATTTAAATCATTCCTTATGCCAATCAAAAGTTTCAAAGGTATTATGCATTCTTTCAAAAGGAACAAGAACTTAACAATGTAAAAACAGCTCCACCACCAAACAAAAAGGCGTAATAATAGGGATTCGAGTGTTTATTTGGCAGAGGATATTTTACAATATTGATCTGCTCTCACCACCACTGTCCTTGGTAAAGCAGTGGGTTTAACCCTTGTGCCGGCAGGACTGCTGACTGACAGGTCACGGGTTCGAATCTAGAGAGAGAGGGTTGAACTCCCTCTGTCAGCTTCAGCTCCCCATTCAGGGACATGAGAGGAGCCTCCCAGAAGGATGGTAAAACATCAAACATCCAGGCGTCCCCTGGGCAACGTCCTTGCAGATGGCCATTTCTCTCACATCAGAAGCGAGTTGCGGTTTCTCAAGTTGCTCCTGACACACACACACACACAAAACCAAAAAATTATTACGGTGTAGAAGTCATTTGAGTGGTTCCGGTCCGCAAGCCACTGGCTACCATTTCATGGTGAGTTTCCAGGTAAGAAAGAAATAGGAAATGGGTATAAATATGGAGCAGGTCACTGGCTCATTGGAGAGAAAAACCTTGACATTTCTTCCCATCAGATAGCTTACGAAGCACTGTTACAAGTGATGTCTTGTTAGAGGCTTCCTAGGCTGGTGTGAAGGAGATATCTAGACTTACCATATATAATCGAGTATAAGCTGACCCGAATCTAAGCCGAGGCATCTAATTTTACCACAAAAAAACAGGGAAAATGTATTAACTCGAGTATAAGCCGAGGGTGGAAAATGCAGCAGCTACTAGTAAATTTCAAAATAAAAATAGATACCAATAAAATTATATTAATTTAGGCATTAGCAGGTTAAATGTTTTTGAATATTTACATAAAACTGTAATTCAAGATAAGACTGTCCAAATCTGATTAAACCATTATTCTAACCTTCTTCAATGTAAATATGCTTACATGTCCTCCAATAATAATAAATAAAGTAAAATAATAATAATAAAGTAAATTAATAAATGTAAGAATAACAATAATAAATAGAGTAAAATAATAAATGTAATAACAACAATAATAAATGTAATAATAACGATAACAACAAAGTAAAATAATAAATAACATTGACTTGAGTATAAGCTGGGGGAGACTTTTTCAGCCTAAAATAAGGACTGAAAAACTAGGCTTATACTTGAGTATATACAGTATATTCCTGCACCATTTAGAATAAGGCAGGGCTCATATGATCCACATTCTTTGCCTTGGTTATGGAACCCATAGCTATTTTTTTTTATTTCCATGCTTTACATCTGAGTTATATTCTCCTTAATAATCTTTTCAGTTGTGATTTCTAATTTTGGGTGCATTCATATATTTAATTTAAACAAGCTGTATTTACTGGATTGCTGTGAGTTTTCTGGGCTGTATGGCCATGTTCCAGAAGCATTCTTTCCTGATACTTCGCCTGCATCTATGACATGCACACTCATAGTCAAAGATCATGGGATCTTTTGCTTATATGGTGGTTGAAATATTTTGATTCAAATAAAAACAATGATTAATATGAGGATCAGAACATATTAGGGAAGGAGATCCTTGCCTCTTCATAACAACGTGACCAGTAACTTCTCTTGTTTTTTTTAATTGCAGGGAAGATACAGCAGGTAGCCATGTGCTAGATCCTGATGAACTTTTTCCTTCTGAGAATCTACAAGATGGACACTTCACCAAGACTGCAAAACCTCTAAGTTCTCAGGAAAATGAAGCTTGTTTCTCACAACAATTGCATATGGAGCCAAATGTGTTAGAAGATGAAACTAAAGTGCAGGAGAGGGTTCTCTCCAGGAACAGATCTGACTTGCTTCAGAAAGAAGGAGAAGATGGTCTTTCTGATAAACATGCTTCTGGTTTGCTACCTGAAACCTTGAACTGCCAATATACCCCTACATCTAATCGGAGAAGTGGTTCTCTTCTGGATGATGAGACTTCAGCCAGTCATATGCTAGATGACTTTAGACATGAGACAAGTGTGCCTTGTGATGCTGTTCATGTATCATTTGGCACTCCAACTCTGGATGAGCCAATGTACAATGCAGTGTGTTGTCTCCAGGAAACCCGTGGGCCTTTGGAACGTAGGGAAAGAAATGGGGGCCTTGGAAGTGTTCCATTAGAAAGTGACTTGCCAGCCTTTTTGTCTGAGAAAAGGAGCATCAGCTCTCCTCTTTCTGTAGGACTGTTATCTCCTTGTGATGACCTTGCAGTTGCAGAGGGAAAGACCACTGATGTGACAGACTCTCTTTGCTGCGACATGAAGGATTTGGCTGTCGGTAGTGGAGAAGCATGTTCAGATGCACCTGAACTGACACAACTCTCGTTAAATGAGGAAGATCATGGTCAGTCCCTGGACCGGATGAATAATACTTCTGCAAGCAATCAAATAGAGCTCCTCTTGAAAGGTGATTCTCCAACTTGCTGTCGGAGAAACTTGGTCGCTAGTAAACATTCAGGCCTCTCTAGTTTAGATGTCTCTAGAAACTGTTCATCAGGGTCTGGAGAGAGCACGGCCCCCCACCTAGAAATGCATTCTCTAGGCAATGAGGAACGGTCCCAAGAAGAATTTATGGCATTAAAACAAGTAACATCTACTCCGGTGAAAGCGCTATCTCCAGGAATCAGTTTGAACAACGAGATCCAGGAAGGAAGCTATGCAGGCAACTGCTACCACAGAGATGGTTCCAAGCTCAGTAAGTTGGAAATGGTCATTTCCCCCCTCCTTTCATATTTTAATTTAATTTAATTTGATCATATTTTGATCAAAAAATTACAAGAAAAGGGTGTTTGCTATAAAAGTGTGGTCAAAAGGATTTTAACCAACTTGTTCTTTAATATATTGCCCATCCAGGTTTGGAATGCAGTAAAAAATCAGCAAAGGAAAACATTAATTCTGTTTTAATCCCTCCACATTTTGCAGATTTGATTACTGTATTCATGAATTTGATGCAAAATGTTATTTCTAGGTATCTCTAGGCCGCCTGTGACAATATAGTTAACTTCCTTCAGCAATACTGGAGGATCTAAAGAAATTTCTAGAGAGATTTCAATGCAGTTCTGATAGGTGGTCAGTTGCCAGCAGAAACTGATGAAAGAGTCATGGTTGAAGATCTAGAAATTCCTACAGGGATCGTCTGTATTTTTTATTTTTCACTTTCACTGGGGTCCTGTGTTCCTAAATCCAGCAAATCTATTTATTTCGTGACAAAAACATTGCATAAATAAGTATAGAACTGATAAAATAGAGGGAGCACAAGTGTCTAAATACTTTTAGACCAAAAATGGGCAACAGCGACCTCACTATCTAGCTTTAAACAGTTCTTCATCTGTGCATGAGGCAGGGCATTGTGGGCAAGCATACAGATGCAGAGTTGTTTGTTCTGCTCCACAGTCACACAAGGTGGAGGATTCTTCTAAGTACTGCCATTTAGCCAGGTTGTCTTTTGATCTGCAAACACCACTTCTTAGTCTGTTCAAGGACTTCCAAGTTGCCCATTCTTGGTTTGCCCCTGGAGACAGACACTCATGCGGGGCGGGATCCATCAAATGTGGATGGCTGTATTATATTTACACATACACACACATACTTGTATCGCCTATCGGTGTTCTCTTGTTTTATAATGTTGTAGGTATACTTTTTGAAGTAAAGCGTGTAGAATTACAAGACCCTGCTGCTCTCTTTTGTGTTTGGGTTATGAGAGACCATTTCCAGAGTCAGAAAGAAGCAGCCGCAAAGACTCATTTACTTCTTTCCAGATTGGCCAGTTCCTCTCAAACTCTTGTAGATGTCTCTGCTGTCAACTTGGCAGAAGTAAGTGTACAGAGTTCTCTTTTAATTAAGCCATAGTTTATGGGTTTATGAAGTTCATAGTTTTTGAAGTTGCAACAGTAAATAAATAAATGTCTAGTGAACTATATTCTTCTGGAAAGCATGATCTGCGTAGGCCTTGCTCAATTTAGGTTCAAAGAATACACTGAAGTAAGACTAAGCCATTAAAAGTCCAAAATATAGTTTTATTGATGACAAATTGAGCAAAAAGCATAGAATATAAGCAATGCTCACCAGATATACAGTACCAGATGTTATGTTGTCCTCTTAGCCTTAGATGAGCCTTCAAGCTTTCAGGCAAGGCACCAGCGTTCGGCTCTCCAGAAGCTTTGGGATGACACAGGCTTTGCAGGGATGAATTCCACCTTGTTCCTTCTCCCCTGGGATGAGAAAAGAGGAAGATTCTGTCAGTGAGGACTTCTTATCTGCACTGGGACCAGAACAATCAACCTGGCCGCATCTCTATTTAGCTAGTGCTTTATCACACCAGAGCTGAAAGAGTAGGCAAAGAGTATGCATCCTATCTGAAATCCTGTGACTGCTTTTTTGCAGAATTCTGGGTCTTGTAGTTTAGTGAGACCCAGGACCTCTCTGGCTGAGAATTTTAAAGGCCTCTCCCTCAACTGCAAGCCTCAGAATTCTGCAGGAGGCAGCCACAGGATTTCCCACAGGATGGGATGCATACTCTTTGCCTACTCTTTCAGCTCTAGTGTGATATCAGCCTGTGATGTTGTGATCTTTATTGAGTAGCCTGCCCTGTTAAGCTATGGAACATGAGTTTAAAAGAAAACTAGTATATATATTTGTATTATTGTTTTATAACAAATGGGGAAGGATAGATGAAAAGCCCAATTACAAAATTCCTAGCAAATTTCAATTGAGATGGCATGTAGCCTCCTCCTGGGAAAGTCCGTAGTTTGGGTGGGTAAGTGTAGATTAGAATCCACACCGAAATGAGTTATTTTTGCCCTCTTTGGCATGGGTTTTAGGGTTGTCTGGTAGCACCCTGAAATTAATATGAAGATCAGACATGTTTCACAGTGTACTTTGCTTTCTAGCACTGTGTTTCTACTTCCTGATGTATTATTTTAATGCCATGGTCTAGGTTACATTAAAAAGGTCTAGTGTTTAGTCTGAGATATTTCACATTGTGTCCTTTTTCTAGGCCATTGTCTGTTACTTCTCATTATATTCCCCCTTTTTAGTGGTACATTTGACTTCCATGTGTAACCTATTGCTATGGGTGTCTTGTTGAATTTCATGTGTCATTTTATTTTAGCATAGACTAATCTGATTAGTTCAGAGTGCAACAGGAGTACTTTACATTCGGTTTTAGGCTCCTCTGCCCCATCAGTGCCAATTTCTTCTTCGTTTTTTCTTCCTGGCAAACTGTATTAACTTTGCAGAAATAAAAAATGAGTGTTAGGTTCAGTTTCACAAAGTACTTTCTAATAAAACAATCAGTTCAGCTCAGGATACGGCAAGGGAAAGTACTCAGTTCATAGAGGTATAAAAATGATGGAAGTTTTTAATTTGATTGCATCTTGAGGCATAGGTGGTCCTTCACTTCCACGCACCTGTTGCTGAGATGTTTCATTAGCCAGAGGTTGCTTGTTTCTGGAAAATATTTTGGCAAAGTGGCTTTTTCTAGTCTAGTTACTTGAAAATGGAGGGATATATGATGTAGTACTTTGAATGTTGGACTATGGCTCTGGAGACAATAAGTTCACATCTGGCCATGAAAAGCCACTGGATGACCCTTGGCAGGTTGCACATTCTTAGCCTCAGAAACCTCTGTGATGGGTTTGCATTGGGGTTGCCGTAAATGACTTAAAGGCACACAACAACATGTTTCATTTGGTCTAGATTTGAATGCTAAATGTGATTGCCTTAAAGTTCCAAATTCTTTCTGGATGAGACTATCAACAATATTGACAGCACTTTTGTGACATTGTTCTGAGCAATTAGCAAGTTATAGCTCTATTTTTTTTAATTGTGTCAGAAGCAACTTGAGAACATATTGCAAGTTGCTTCTGGTGTGAGAGAATTGGCCATCTACAGAGACATTGCCCAGGGGATGCCAGGATGGGTTAGCTAGGAGACTTCTGTCATGTCCCCACAAGCTAGAACTGACAGACGAGAGCTCACCCCGTCTCATAGATATGAACCAGCAACTTTCAGGTCAGCAACCCAACCTTCAGATCAGCAGTTCAGCCAGCACAAGGGTTCAATCCATTGCGCCACTGCGGCTCTTAGCTACATCACTAATAAAAAGAAGTTATGACCAAGACTAAATGGCAAGTTTTGAATACAACCTTCTTGGTGCAGTATACTGGCAGTAACACATTTTTCAGCATCACATAACAGTGGTAAGGGGAAGACAGATACATTCTGCTGACTCTGGGCATCATGTTTTCCAGGCCTGACTTTTCGTGGCCACTGCACCTACAGTCTTTGTTTTTTTCTGCTCCAGAGGGCTCTGATCAAGGTACACTGGCATAATGCACCAATAAGATTATGACTATAATTTTTTTTATCTTCCAAGTTGCATTTTATCTATTGCCAAGTTGCTGATATTGGCCACTGGCAATAGGATGAGAATTTGGTGGGCTAAATGTGATCCACATCTATGTGTTTCTGTGTACTCTAGTGTCCTCTATCTAACCCATTCCACAGCTGTTTTGCCAACATTTGACTGTTTGGTACAGCAATTTTAGAGAAACATATTATTGATGTTAAAAAAAAGGTATATGGGAAGAAAATTGTAGCTATACATTTACACACTCCACTCTTTGCCAAAATCCAGCAGTTGCTTGGATGCAATTCTGGGAAGAGAGCTTTCAGTAAGAGCCAATGCAGTTCAACTCCCACTGGATCAAAGAAAGTTTGATTGGCCTATACTGAGATCTGTTTTCAATTGTCAAAGTTTTAAAAAATGGAATCATTCAACGAAAATACTTTTGGGTTTAAAAGTGTAAGAATTATTTTGAGTGCATTTGTTCATGTATTTTTTGTTGCTGACTTTTCCAATGTCAAAACGACTGTTACTAGACTACCAATACAACAATTAGGAGGCAGTTAGGGGTAGTAATATCTGTCATAGAATCATAGAATCATAGAATCAAAAAGTTGGAAGAGACCTCATGGGCCATCCAGTCCAACCCCCTGCCAAGAAGCAGGAATATTGCATTCAAATCACCCCTGACAGATGGCCATCCAGCCTCTGTTTAAAAGCTTCCAAAGAAGGAGCCTCCACCACACTCCCGGGCAGAGAGTTCCACTGCTGAACAGCTCTCACAGTCAGGAAGTTCTTCCTAATGTCCGGATGGAATCTCCTTTCTTGTAGTTTGAAGCCATTGTTCCGCATCCTAGTCTCCAAGGAAGCAGAAAACAAGCTTGCTCCCTCCTCCCTGTGGCTTCCTCTCACATATTTATACATGGCTATCATATCTCCTCTCAGCCTTCTCTTCTTCAGGCTAAACATGCCCAGTTCCCTAAGCCGCTCTTCATAGGGCTTGTTCTCCAGACCCTTGATCATTTTAGTCGCCCTCCTCTGGACACATTCCAGCTTGTCAATATCTCTCTTGAATTGTGGTGCCCAGAATTGGACACAATATTCCAGGTGTGGTCTAACAAAAGCAGAATAGAGGGGTAGCATGACTTCCCTAGATCTAGACACTATGCTCCTATTGATGCAGGCCAAAATCCCATTGGCTTTTTTTGCCGCCACATCACATTGTTGGCTCATGTTTAACTTGTTGTCCACGAGGACTCCAAGATCTTTTTCACACGTACTGCTCTCGAGCCAGGCGTCACCCATTCTGTATCTTTGCATTTCATTTTTTCTGCCAAAGTGGAGTATTTTGCATTTGTCACTGTTGAACTTCATTTTGTTAGTTTTGGCCCATCTCTCTAATCTGTCAAGATCGTTTTGAATTCTGCTCCTGTCCTCTGGACTATTGGCTATCCCTCCCAATTTGGTGTCGTCTGCAAACTTGATGATCATGCCTTCATCAAGTTTGCAGACGACACCAAATGGGGAGGGATAGCCAATAGTCCAGAGGACAGGAGCAGAATTCAAAACGATCTTGACAGATTAGAGAGATGGGCCAAAACTAACAAAATGAAGTTCAACAGTGACAAATGCAAGATACTCCACTTTGGCAGAAAAAATGAAATGCAAAGATACAGAATGGGGGACGCCTGGCTCGAGAGCAGTACGTGTGAAAAAGATCTTGGAGTCCTCGTGGACAACAAGTTAAACGTGAGCCAACAATGTGATGTGGCGGCAAAAAAAGCCAATGGGATTTTGGCCTGCATCAATAGGAGCATAGTGTCTAGATCTAAGGAAGTAATGCTACCCCTCTATTCTGCTTTGGTTAGACCACATCTGGAATATTGTGTCCAATTCTGGGCACCACAATTCAAGAGAGATATTGACAAGCTGGAATGTGTCCAGAGGAGGGCGACTAAAATGATCAAGGGTCTGGAGAACAAGCCCTATGAGGAGCGGCTTAGAAAGCTGGGCATGTTTAGCCTGAAGAAGAGAAGGTTGAGAGTAGATATGATAGCATGTATAAATATGTGAGAGGAAGCCACAGGGAGGAGGGAGCAAGCTTGTTTTCTGCTTCCTTGGAGACTAGGACGCGGAACAATGGCTTCAAACTACAAGAGAGGAGATTCCATCTGAACATAAGGAAGAACTTCCTGACTGTGAGAGCTGTCTGCCTTTCATAGATTTTTTTCTTGGATCATCCTTGTTTGGCCCTGACTTTCAATCTGAATTCACTCAGATTTTATAGTGTGTGTTTGCCTGTTCCTTTTTTGTAGCTGATAAAAACAACACCTTTGTTTGAGAATTCACGACGAGTTGAAGAACTGGAAAAACTGAAGGCTTGTGAGGGAGAATATGGAAAAAAGTATGATACACTTGGACTCATTGGCAAAGGAGCCTTTGGATTTGTTTGGACAGCCAAATGTAGAAAAGATCAAAAAGAGGTAAAGCGAGCAAAAGTAGCTTTCATGTATTTACTCAATAGTTCTTCTTTGATATGTTTGTGGTTTCTAGAAACCTCAAGATTTCTTCATTTCAAAGTTCAGGCAGGAACATAGAGTTAATGGTGAGCTTAGGTTAATGTTAATGTCAAAGCTCATTGTCTAACATTACATTTTTCATTAGTGATTTGTACATTATGGGCTATTAAATTATGGCTTTGATATTTGTGAATGTTTAGGATGGCTGTGCTTTTTCACATGATATTTGATATCTAAGGAGTCAAAGATCATTCTTTGTAGAGAGTAGAAAAGGAGTCTCTTCTCTTTCCCACTAAGACACAGTACTGGCATAGTTTAGCTGCCAAGAAATGTGCCAAATGCTGCTTGGGCAACATTCCTAGGGCTGCAGAGTACCTACCTGACTAGGATTCTTCAGACCACCAGGATGGCACACTGTCCAATTCTGACAACATTTCTCTGAATTGAGAGGGGTGGCACAATTCTTCTTTTCTTGAGATGAGCAGTAGCAAGGGAAGGATAGCTTTACTAGTAAACATAGATGAATTGCAATTGATTTTGGATCCCCAATCAACAACAACAGAAAATCTTTTAAAGTTAAGCTATAGATTTGGAGGGAACCTAGGGTTCTTTTATATGTGGAGCGTCTGTTAGTTTCTTGTCAAACTACTATCAGAATCCTGGACAAACAGTCCTGAGACAGTGTTGTGAACTTGGCTCTAGCTGTTGCAGTTTGGGTTTTTTCATAAAAAACCTAAGGGCATCTGGGAGGCTTGCCTATTTATGTGGCAGAAGGAATTGAGAAAGTATGCCCCTCTGGATTTTATTGATCTACAACTCCAATCATTTATTGCAATTGACATTTGTTGCAAGGTCTGATGGAGATGCAGCTGGCAAAATCTGTAGGCCACACATTTGACACAACATGTTCAATAGCAGTAAAATAAGAGTATCATAGTGTTTAGTCAGACACATATCTGTTGTAGCTGATGGGCCATACCCATTAGAATAGTTTGCATTGTTTCACATCCATTGCATTTTGGCTGATGAGCAAGTATTAACACTGCCAGCTGTTGCAACTGTGTTTGATTCCAGGGTGTTTAATAACATCTTTACCCAGTGAAGGCGTTTAAGCCAAATCCTTTGAGCTACTGGATAGCTCACTGGATCAGGCTGTTATTTGTTGCAATCCTAGATATTTTGATATACTTGGAAATTTGAAACTGTGAAATGAGTATGTCATTACAGAGCGGTATAACTTTCTCTACCTCCCATGACAAACTTTTAGAGAGGGAATGTTGTACGCCTGACCTGGAGCCACCTATGACCACACGACCACACAAGAGTCCAGAGTATAAGCAGTTTATTGTAAAAACATACAAAATACATGAAAAAAGCAGGAATAAGGAAAGGAGAGGTATAATCATAACAAGATGATAGCCACACAGGAATCCAAATGTCTCATAAAAATCCAAGTCCAGGATTATCCAAAAATCACAAGCACAGAAGAAATCCATAAGCAAAAGGTATACATAATAAACTTGAGCAGGAATAATAAAACAAGAACATAGAAATCTTCCCGAATACTTGAATCCAAAACCAAGACTTAAATTGACACAATGACTAGGAAATTCAGGCTGGACTTCTTACTTTAATGGAGCCTTGTATGCAGTTTTACCAAGACAAGTCATTGCCTACCTAGGTTTTGTTTCTTTTTGCTTTCATTTATTTACAGGTTGTAGTGAAGTTCATATGGAAAGAGAGAGTATTGGATTATTGCTGGGTAGAGGACCCTGAATTGGGGACAATCACACAGGAGATTTTAATTTTGAGAAAGCTTCAGCACCCCAATATTATTAAGGTATAGTTTATCAAGTATGCAAATGCATAATTGTTGATGTGTACTTTCTGGATTAAGTAAATTTCTTTTATATTCTGATGTTGTGGCACAAGTTAATTTTGTCTATCAACAACACTTGGCTATATTCAATTATGGCTAGATTTAACCTGGTGCGCACAATCCCTCGTACAAGGAATCCCATATGACAAGTAATAGTTGGTACAAGAAATCTTGCTAACATTCTCATGTTGATTTGCATTATCATCTCAGTCCTTGATCAGAACACTGTTAGAAGATGTCATATAACTATGTTAATTCTCTTAAAATTGAAAATTGAAGTGTCTGACATTGTTCTTAACCAACATTTTCCAACATGGTACCTTTCAGATGTGCCAAACCACAAGACTTGCCTTCCCTAGCCAGTCGCCTTGCTCAAGGGATGATTATATAGCTAGGTCCATTCTTTCTTCTAGAGTTAAGGTAGTGGGATGCTTCATTTGTTATGTTCTTTTGTGAATACAATGTATGGCACTCCTTGTCACCAGATACTTGATGTATTTGAGAACCGACAATTCTTCCAGTTGGTGATGGAGAAGCATGGGTCCGGCCTGGATCTCTTCACGTTCATTGATAACCAACCTGATCTGGATGAACCTTTGGCAAGTTACATATTCAGACAGGTAAGATTTAGTGGAGGCAAAATCTGCAAGTAAGTGAATACCTAGGCATGAATATGCAGCTTGTTAACTGATGAGATAAGATAAAAGCAAGCATGAGTAGGTGTGATGAGGTCCATAGTGAAAATAAGGCCCCTCCTCTATCCGTATCATCAGTCCAGATAGAGGCCCTGACAGCTACTGTTTATTTTTTAAAAAGGCTGTACATTAATAATTGTATAAAAACGGTCATATCTCTTTTGGCCACCATTCCCCTTGCTTAGCAACACTTGCCAATATTTAGGGAGGAAGAGAAAAAAACTCAGTAGCACAGAGAGAGAAAAAAAAATAAAATAAAATTGCAGCTATTTTGATTGTCTTTGATCCAGACCCGAGGCCCCTTCTACACTGCCATATAATCCAAATGATCACATAATCCACATTATCTGTTTCGAATTGGATTATATGAGTCTACACTGCCATAAAATCCAGTTCATAATCTGGATTTTATATGGCAGTGTAGAAGGGGCCTGAGAATGGACTGAAAACTTTATTAATAGAAAACTATTGAATGATCTTTATTTCATTGTGTTTCAGTGGATCATTTGCACATTAATATTGAAATTCGAATGGCCTTACTGTAACAGCTCACTTTACTATAAATTATAAGACAATATGTTTCATAAATACTGAGAATATTACGGCATTGTAAAATGTGATGTCATATAATGAATAATATGTAATTCCACTAATAAAATAGGGAGGTTATTCCAGTGACACTCCACAGCCATTTCTAAAGTTATAGTCAGATAGTGCTGAGTGTTATATTAGCTGCAGTGGAAGCATTGAGACTAGATGACAATACAGTTTTGAACACAAGCAGAGAAAAAGTGATTAGTTAATTTCATGGCAGAATGAAAACTACAATCTTTCAAGTTCTGTTTCAATACTGAAAACTACATTAAAACAGCTCTCTTAATTTGTTTATTTGCTTACTGTTTGTTACAGTTGGATCAGACATGATAAGCAATTCATAAATACAATTCAAAGACAGCACAGTGTTGATCTTGACCAGTAAGCAAAGTGAACTTATAGCACCTTTGAGACTAACTGAGAGAAAGAAGTTGGTAGCATAGGTTTATATAGGATGCATGATATCAATAGTTTAAATTTTATTTATTTATCATGTCAGAAGCAAATTGAAGGTCCAGTTGTAATGTATTTAAAAATACAAACAAAGTTTACACTTGGCATTATACTAAATGTCCTTTGACCACTAGCTGGCCACTTGGAGTGCCTCTGGTGTTGCTATAAGAAGGTCCTCCATTGTGCATGTGGCAGGGCTCAGGTTGCATTGTAATAGGTGGTCTGTGGTTTGCTTTTCTCCACACTCGCATGTCGTGGACTCCACTTTGTAGCCCCATTTCCGTAGTCTGTTTAGCGCCCTCCAAGTCACCCAGTCTTCTGTGTGCTCAGGAGGGAGTCTCTTACTCAGTATCAGCCATGGATTGAGGTTCTGGGTTTTAGACTGCCACTTTGGACTCTTGCTTGCTGAGGTGTTCCTTCGAGTATCAGTGTAGATCTTAAAAAGCTATTTCTTGATTTAAGGCATCGGCGTACTGGCTGATATCCGAACAGGCGATGGGCTGGAGATGTCACTGCCTTTGTCCTTTTATTATTGACTGCTACTTCCCGGTAGATATCAGATGGTGCAATACTGGCTAAACAGTACAATTTCTCTAGCGGTGTGGGGCATAGGTATCCTGTGATAATGAAGCATGTCTTGCAGCATGGAACCAAATAGTTTAAATAATTTTCAGGAAGTGTGCATTTGGTATCCATCCTGAACTCTTGTTCTCTCTAAATGTCAGCTTGTGTCTGCAGTGAGCTATCTACGTTGTCAGAACATCCTTCACAGAGATATCAAGGATGAGAACATCATAATTGCCGAAGATTTCACTATCAAGCTGATAGACTTTGGTTCAGCTGCTTACCTGGAGCCTGGCAAGCTGTTCTATACCTTTTGCGGAACTATTGAGTATTGCTCACCAGAAGTGCTCTCAGGCAATCCGTATGTATGACTTGGAAGTAAAACCTTTGCATGTTGTCAGAAGTACCATGAATTAAAAGAGAGGAAAGCCTCCAGAGCTAATGCAAGAGTAAAGGAAGGACAGTGGGGAATGATCACATCTTGGATTAATAAATCGAGGTACAGAAGAAGTTTTGGCAGCACATGCAGACAGCTGGTAGACAATTACATTAACTGTAATTTCACCATGCAGACTATAGTTAACTAAGATCAGGAGATAAAACCCACGATCTGAAGTTGGCTTAATGTCCTGGCTGATTCTGAGGCTCTTTATTATAATGTCCTGGTTTGGAAGAATTGGAAAAGTATAGTTAAAGAGAGATATGCTGTATATACATATTCTTGATTACACAATGATAAGTGAGGTGCAATTGTCCATATGTTTTAGTGGTTATCGGGGTTTTTTTTTATTCTCCTTGTTCTTTTAAAAAGTATCCTTGACTATTGACAGACACTTGTAGGCAATTCTTCTATCAATATCTCTTATCCCATTCATGAAATTTGAGAAAGATGCAAGTTGGGAAAGAAAGTGTCTTGATAGATTGGGAGGAAGAAATTGCTTGTGCCATCATCCTGTTTTATGTGCCTGTGTGGTCTCCTCAAGTTGCCTGTCAATGCATAGTAATTGCATGAATTTCTGAGGGTTTTATTAGGCACAGAATATTAAGAGATGGTTTGCCATTTGTAGTATAATTAAATGTGGATTTTAAAAATCCACTTTTGTCTGAAATATTTCTGAGCATTATAAGCTTTAAACTCTGTATTCCTCTGTAGATATCTAGGACCGGAACTGGAGATGTGGTCACTTGGTATCACACTTTATACCATAATTTTTGGAGAAAATCCTTTTTGCGAGCTGGAAGAAACCATGGATCCTGTATTAAGACCTCCTTACGGTGTGTCAGATGGTGGGTATTTAATGAAAGAATTGAGGAATTAGGACCAGGAATAGATTTTCTGAGCAAATGGGATTGAATAGATTTTCTCAGGTCTTGAAAAAAGGGGTTTGCAAATATGTCATGAAATGCTCAAATAGATATGTTTTGCCTTCTTGATATTTCATAAGTGGCTTGGTGTCAGTAATGATAGACTAAGGGAGAAGCACATGATTGAATGTTTGAGAAATGTGCACATATTCCATTGCCACTTATCAATATTCTAGAGCAGTAGTTCTCAGCCTGTGGGTCCCCAGGTGTTTTGGCCTACAGTTCCCAGAAATCCCAGCCAATTTACCAGCTGTTAGGATTTCTGGGAGTTTAAGGCCAAAACATCTGGGTTAAGGCCACAGGTTAAGAAGCACTGTTCTAGAGCAGTGGTTCTTAACCTGTGGTGCATGGAATGGAACACCAGTGGTCCGCAAAAACTAAAATATGGTCTGCAGCCTCACTGTTACTACACGAGAGCGATTGCTCTTGCAAAACCCTCTTATAATGCCAATTCTTATTAAATATGGGTTTTTTTTGGGTGAGCAGATGGCAGCTACTGGATGGCATATGTTCTGTATCAGAAACTAGAGCTGATGTGGTCTGTCCAATGCAATTTTCTGAATCAGTACCTCAAATAACCAAACAGAATCTAAAGTTGACCAAAATCTGATTCATAACCCTTTTGATACTAATTTTGGGAGAGTGGTTCCTGATCACAGTGTTCCCTGCTCAAAGTGGTCCCTGATCAAAAAAAAGTTGGGAACCACTTTTCTAGAGAACAGTTCTAAACACTCTCTTTGTTCAGTTAATGGTCTCTAGTGAGCCTAGAAATATAATGGGGGCAGAGTAGTTTGCGACTTTAAGCATTATCTTCAGGCCCCATCAGAGTTGAGATAGCAAATAGTTTCTTATTTTGTCAGTCCAAGATTTCTCCTGCAGCAAAGCAATGTAAATATTAGCCACAATAAAGCCAACATTATCAGGAAGATCAGTAGTGGTATCAGCAAACTTGAGAGTTTACTAAGACTTCTGTTTCAATATATTGTGAACTGTAGTTGAAACAGATAGTTAGAGAAGTCACGATAGTTTATTGACCTTGTGAGGCATGACTCTCCTTGCATAAAAAAGCCCTTGTGCCTCCATTTCCCCTTCTCTTAGCTATTTTCTGTACTTTTCATATTGACTGCACTGGTACCTTCTCAGTGATTGTAGAAGGACATTTTTTGTTAGCTGTCTGCTCCCCTCCATTTAAAGAAGTAAGATTTCAAGCAGCTTCTGGAACGTCTGCTGGTTGCCAGGCAAGCAGAAAGTTACTATAAAAGTTACTGACATTCTCCTTTTCCTTGTGTACCTCAGGCCTGATGGATCTCCTGTCTGGACTCTTGCAGCCATTTCCAGAGGATCGCACAACGTTAGAAGTAGTAGTAAAGCATCCTTGGGTGACACAATATGTGAACCTGGCCAACTACACATGGGAAGAAGTATTTGCCTCTGTCAAGTCAGGTAGGAGGCAGGGTTCAGAAAGCAATTTTCAAAGCATTCTTTGAATTTCCAATTGAGCAAAGAATTCCAAAAACACTATTGGAAATGACTTCCCACTTACATGGGTGGAGAGCTTGTTGGAAGTAGCAACCTTCCAAGCCTTCACTATTTATTTGTTAATGTATATATTTGCTAATCTGTATTGTATGTATATATTGGTTTGCCAGTTTGACTGACCTCTGGTGTGGAAGGGGCTACAGACATGTGATTGTACTGAGCATGTTCATACTCAAGACTCAATTTTGTTATGAGTATGCTTTTGGACTTCAATGTTAGCAGTTTGAGGTGGATGCATTTTGCATTTTGCATTTTGGACTTAGGCAGGAACAGTTTACTATATGTTTGCTTTGAGAAGTAGTGAGTACAGTTATACAGTTTGGATTTTCATAAGATGTAAATTTAAAGACTTTGGACTATGGACTATTGATTAAGAATGATGCCCAGTATTATCAACACGGAGAAACTACATCCTATGTATAAATGTGCCTATATGCTGAATTAATACAAGATATTTATGAGTTAACAAAATATGTTACTTTTTAAAAAAGATTTTGGTGTTTTTCCCCCTTTGAGTGTATATTTTTAAACTGAGAGGTTTCAAGGGAGAGTATATGTTTTGGGCAACTGCATTTTCAACTTCAAAGAAACATTTTAAAACTCTGCTAAGTAAATATATGTTTTCTGTGCAGTGGCATGTCTTTGTCCCTGGCAGTTCAAAGACATGGTTTATCAGTTTAACAGCTGAGTTACATGTGTGCCATTAAATGAATGCTTGTGAACATCACTTTTTTCAAAGGGTTGACTTCTAACAAGGTCATGTCTTTCCTTGACTAGTGGTTTTCAAAAGGTGGTCTCCACATGTTCATGGAGATTCACATTTGCCAAAAGGATATGACATCATTTTTCCTTTTCAAAAAGGTTATGAATGCTATTTTCCCAAAAGAGCCTGGCTAAATAATGGGTTGAAAATAGTATGGGATGTTTGGCTATTAGAATATGTAATAGAAATGCCTGCAAAACACAATTCACTACTGGTTACTTTTTATTGATTGTATCAACAAAACCACAGTATCCTTCCAGTTGGACTCCTGAAAGGCTACTGCACCTTGATTTTCCCCTCTGACCCAATCAGTATTCAACGAATTCTGCAGACAAATCAAATGAATCAAGTCATGTTTCATTTTTACCTGACACAAATGGAAAGAAGTGATCTGCTCTTTCTCTTTCCATGTCTTAGGCCTATGTTTGCCTGTCATTCATAATATAGTTATTCTTATTTCCTGTTAAGAAAAATTCCTTTAATATAAAATTTTTAAAAGATATATAGGATTATGGTCTAGAGCTGGGGCTGCTGCTACTTTTGGAAATATGCAGGGGTTGTTGAGTAATGTTTGTGCCTCAAATTTAATAATGCTATATTTCTCTTCCTTTATTCCACAGAAGGCAGCCGTTTCAAAATTTTCTCTACTGTCTGCAGTCATGGTGGCATCTGGGCAGCCCCGAGTATAGAGAGCGAGCAAAGCTTTAATGATGATCTCTATAATTTTGAACAGCCCAATCCCCCGCCCACAAGAATTGCCACTTCTTCAGAGCAAGAGCCGTCAACCTCCCTTCGGTGTCAGGACTGGAGAAGTCTGTGCTCTCAACATCATTTTGGTCTTCCTTAGCTGCTAAGGGAAAGTTGCCACAAGGATATGAATTATTTTGCTATCTACATGTTGTGAATAAGTGGGATCATGCAAATCTCTATGCTCACTATGAGTAGCTATCACATCTACAGGCTCTAGGAACCAACCATGGAATTAAAAATCAATGTATGAGGTTTTTAATGTGTAGAGACAATACAAATTATCTCATGACATCTAGCAGAATGGGTGCTGATGTTGCTAGTGGATATAACAGGCAATTACTTTCCTATTCGTACATTGCGAGTGTATTCATTGGGGCAGGCCCATTCACTTTTAATAATAACTTGGTTGTCATTACTGTTTACAACGGAATCCTTTATTGCCAAAGTGGCCTAGATTACTCAACTTGTAGGAATTACTTTTAATTTTAGATATTTTGTAGAAACGCTACCTTTTAGTGCCTTTTTACTGGCATACCAGACTATCATTTATGTATGGGGTCCAATTGAGATGGCTGATAATGTGAACTAACTACATGGCAAAGGTACTCTAGAAAGAGTTTCTGATGGCCCCAGATTCTAACTTCATTCTGTTGTAAGATATCATCCATTGTCAAATCATATTCATAGCCAAGAAGATGGTCAACATGAGCCAACAATAATTCCTTTCTTGAGTTTTTAGGACACTTATAGTACTGAGGACTTTTTGGAGGTGATATCCAGCAGCTCAATTCTTGCTTATTAAGAGAAAAGAAAGGATTTCTAATGTTTTATGTCACTATTGTACTTTTAAGTGAAGTTTCCATATGTCTTCAGAGAACCCTAGTCATACAATTCTCATTAATTTTTTTATTTCTTTTAATTTTTTTTAAGAACCTAACCCAGTTGAGGGAAGCAGGCTTAGAAATACTCCCCAAATACTTTCATAGTTTCTCTGGAAGCTATGTGAAATTTTGAATTTTACGATAGTAATAGCTATTTTTTATAAATGCTCAGACTACATTTTATACTTCACTTTTGAATTTTTTTTGAAACAGCGTATTATTTTTTCCAAGTGAGTTGTACTGTAGCACAACACGATAATTTTTCAGTACTTCTGTTTATGAATAACAGGAAATGTTCTGAAACATGACTGTATTTGCTGTTAAAGGTCTAGGCGTTTCAGCAATATATCTTCAGATTTTTTTTATAGAATATATTGATTGTTATTTTACTGGAATCCAATATAAAAGCTTCATGTCTTTCTTTTCTTGAAGGAAGATATGAATCTGTAGTGAAGAAAATATTTGAAAGAGCCATATGAGCTCCTTTTCAAAACAGATGGGATGTAGACAATAATTTAATTAAAATCTGATTAATTTAAAATAGGTTTCTCAGTGCCCTAGTTCCTCTGCTTAGGAGGAGTTGGATTTTGGAGAAATGTCTACTAATTATCATATTATCCAAAATCCTAATGAGATATATTCTATGAAATTACTGAAGAAATTCCTGTTACTGGGTGCTGTTTTTTTTGGAGTGAAATTATCTTTAGTCAACTAAACTTTAACCTGAATGCTCAGCCATCTCGTGTGTCTGGAATTTGTACTGTAGTCTGTATTGTAAAACATGGTAGCTTTTCTGATTGCCATGCTGTCTATCCTAATTGTCCCAAAGGGACACTAAATGTTTGTATCTTAACATGTGTCCATAAATCTCATCTTCCTGTCAACTAGTGTGATTGTCCTGCTCCTTTTTGTACCACAGTCCTTTCTGCTTTGCAAACTTTCCAATCTGATCAGGAAACCACAGTTCTGTATTACATGTTTCTCCTGCCCCTTTTGCCAAATACCTTAAAGTAGGATGATGTGCCTTTCTCTCCCTCCCCCATCCTTTTATCTTTGCCCCTTTGGTTGTTGGAGAAATGCTGGACCACTCCAACCACCACATCAGACTACACAGAGAAGCCATTGAAATCCACAAGCATGTGGACAATTTAAATAGAAAGGAGGAAACCATGAAAATGAACAAAATCTGGCTACCAGTATTAAAAAAAACTCTAAAATTAGAAGAGGGGAAACAAACAAGGACATCTAATTACCTCTCAACAAAAGATTGCTCCAGGCACTGTCAGGCAATCAAATGCTAATCAAGGTGATCAGTTGAAACATTCACACCTAGCTCCAGCAGACAAGAGTTCTTTGTCTCACTCTGGTCATTCCACAGATATATAAACCCCTTTTCCTAGTTCCAACACACCTCACTACCTCTGAGGATGCTTGCCATAGATGCAGGCGAAACGTCAGGAGAAAATGCCTTTAGAACATGGCCATATAGCCCAAAAAAACCTACAACTCAATAAATAAATGCTTTTATGCTACAGAGTGCCCTTCTCAATGCTAGCTGCTCTTCCCCTAAGAACAGAAATTCAATGGAGTACTGTACAGAATCATAACCCCTTATCTCCACGTTTCTAGAATGGGAGTTAAATTGGGATGTCATGGTTATCAAGTCATCTTGGCTTTCAGCAATATTTTTTTCTCCTGCCTTTGCCCCCCAAACTCAACTTGTCACATCATCATCATGTCCACAAGCTTTTCATTTCTGTTGCTGTTTATATAGACAGCTTGAAAAGTCTGTTCCTAGGCCCAGGATTCCATAGCACTGAGCCATTGCAGTCTGAGTGCATCAATGAATTCCACACCGCACATGCGCACTGAGCTCGACGCGCGTTGCTTTAAGACGGTCCCTAGGCGGCGCTGTCCGTGTGTGGAACGTTCGTTTTCGCTTCTGTTTCCGAGGGGAAGGGAGTCTGGGCGCACGGGTCCCCCTTCAGTCGGCGCCTTCAATGCACACAAGAGAAGTAGGGATGGCGCTGGGACGCGTTTGCAGGAAGGTGAGCGTGATTGAGAGAGAAAGAGAGGCCGCCTTGTCCTGAAACTACGCTATGGGATCCTTGGGAATTGCCCTTTTGTTGGGGCAGGAGCAGCATTGGGCAGGAAAGGTTGCAGGCCTTGGAAAACTGCAACTATAATTCCATAGCATTGAGTCAAGGCAGTTAGGCCTGTATCAATGCTCCCAAGTGTAGATGCCTTCCCATCTTTCCCATGTTATTGTGAACTGAGGCATGCAAAAGATCACCAAAAAAAAACCCCAACCCCAAACAAAGCCATATAGGTTGTATATTCCTTATCCTAAATATTTGGGAGCTGTATTTGTATTGTTTAATCTATTTTAATATGTATTTTATAGATTTATACAATTTAAGGTGCAGGTGCTTACCTACAAAGCCCTAAACGGTTTGGGACCATCCTACCTGCGTGACCGCATCTCCGTTTATGAACCCACGCGCTCACTTCGATCATCCGGAGAGGCCCTGCTCGTGATTCCACCTGCGTTGCAGGCGCGTTTGGTGGGGACGCGAGACAGGGCCTTTTCCGTGGTGGCCCCCCGTCTCTGGAACACCCTCCCCAAAGATCTTAGACAGGCCCCTACATTGGCAGTCTTTCGAAAGAACTTGAAGACCTGGCTGTTCCGATGTGCCTTTCCAGAACAGGAATCTCCAACAACAAGTCCCAGAAGCACTTTACTAGAATTGAGATTGCCGCACACTGCACACTGCCCTTACCCTATAATCCTTACATATCACCTGTCATATCAGCACTTTTAATCCTGTACCATTTACTCTGGCCCAGCCCAGTTTTATAGTGTCTTGTTGTATTGTTTATTGCTTATTGTGTAATATTGCTTTAACTGTTTTTAATTTGCTTTAGGTGTTGTATTGTTATGTTGTGTTTTGAGGCCTTGGCCTTTGTAAGCCGCATCTAGTCCTTCGGGAGATGCTAGCGGGGTACAAATAATAATAATAATAATAATAATAATAATAATAATAGAAATATGTTTTAATATGTGTATTTTATAGAAATACATTTTAATAGGTGTATTTGCGGCATTTTTTTACTATTTTGTGTCAAAAGCATTGCATACACATTATCAACTTGCTAATATCTATCTATATACAGGGTGAGGCAGCATAACTTCCTTTTTTCAAAACTTAATAAAACCCATTGTATGAATCAGAATTCTTTATTTTTATTTTATAATGTAGGTGCGTAGGTCCAGAGGAGGGTGACTAAAATGATCAAGGGTCTGGAGAACAAGCCCTATGAGGAGCGGCTTAAGGAGCTGGGCATGTTTAGCCTGAAGAAGAGAAGGCTGAGAGGAGATATGATAGCCATGTATAAATCTGTGAGAGGAAGCCACAGGGAGGATGGAGCAAGCTTGTTTTCTCCTTCCCTGGAGACTAGGACGCGGAACAATGGCTTCAAACTACAAGAGAGGAGATTCCATCTGAACATGAGGAAGAACTTCCTGACTGTGAGAGCCGTTCAGCAGTGGAACTCTCTGCCCCGGAGCATGGTGGAGGCTCCTTCTTTGGAAGCTTTTAAACAGAGGCTGGATGGCCATCTGTCAGGGGTGATTTGAATGCTTCTTGGCAGGGGGTTGGACTGGATGGCCCATGAACTCTCTTCCAACTCTTTGGTTCTATGATTCTATGATACCTAAAGTTTTGTTTTATGTAGTTTTGAAGATCAAATTAGATAGGTGACGTCCCCCCATTCTCCATACACTGAGTAAACCGATTACTGGCATTTGTCATGACTCTTGCCAGCATAGTAGGTGTTATTTTGGCAATTTTTTCCTGGATGTTGGTCTTCAAATCTTGTGAGGTCCTTGGACGATTTCAAAAAACCTCATAGAAAAAAAACACAAGGGGCCAAATCTGGAGAGCGGGCCGGCCACTCCAAATCCACTCGAAAAGTAGGCCTCAAAGGCAAAAGCATGCTCCTCACTGTTCCAACACACTGTTCCAAAACATTTGAATTGCTACTTTTTTGGCGGAAACCTCTCTTTGCTGCACAGTTATTTTAATAATATGTGTTTTTATGTCTATTTCGGCAGATTTTACAGAAGCACAGTTACATACCTTTAGCCTGTCACCAAATCCAGTCATCTTTGAAAGCATCACACTTTGAGTCTCTGTGCTCTCTTCAGCACCTGAGGTACAGATTGACAAGTACTAATTCTGCTGAACAATGTGAAGCAAGCTTCCTCCTTGGTGGTCCTAAAGGAGATAGCAGTGAAGCTCTCACTTCTGTGGATCACAAGAAATCAGCTGATGTGGACTACTTGAAGCTAGGGAAGGTGGCTCATTCATTCCTGGACATGGGGCTCAGTCCTGCTCAGATAACAGACTTGTTCAGCCTGCATCCCAAACTGCCACCTCAAACAAGATTGGCTGTAGTTTCGGAGCTTCTCCTCCTGGGTTTAAACACTGATGCCTTACTGAAGGCCCTACAGAAGAAACCTGAATTGTTGAAAATGCCAGCAAATCGCCTGAGGGATCGTGCAGATCTTTTGAGGAGACTTGGTTTTCAGGAAGGTAATGTTTTATCTCTGCTGTGCAGTCACAATGTATTTAATGGTGTTTCAGCACCATACTTGGTTTTTGAGACCCAATTTGCTTGTATTATGTCATAAACCTTTATTATTCAGATGGACATGGTGTGAAATGTTAAGAGAATAGGTGCTATCCAGGAATGGTTCTGATCAGGGATAGGAAAATCACAGGTACTTCACACTTCTGTTTTTAAATCAAAGCAATTGAAAACATCACAGAGGTTAGATGGCCTTTCAAAAAAGGGTTGGATCTTGCTTTAAAAATCTGTTCCTGTATCATTTTGAAAAAAAAATTAAGAGAAAAGTATTTCCTTCTTGTGTTCTATGATGTATGGAAGGCTTGAGGGTAGAATATGAAATATAACTCAGAAATAAGAGCAGACATCTGTTTTATTAAGGCTTCTGGAGAAGAACTATTATGCGCTTAGATGAAGGGAAGTAATAGTACTACTCTATTCTCCTTTGGTCAGAGTTCATACGTAATACAGTGTCCAGTTCGGAGCATCACAATTCAAGAAGGATATTGACAAGCTGGAATGTGTCCAGGGAAGAGCAACCAAAATAATCAAAAGGTCTAAAAGCCCAACCCTATTTTGAGCAGCTTAGGGAGCTGGGGGTGTTTAGCTTGGAGAAAAGAAGTTTGAGAGGGGACTTGGTAGCCATGTTTAAATATTTAAAAGGATGTCATATTAAGGGTCGGGAGGAAGCTTGTTTTCTGCTTCTCTAGAGACTAGAGAAGGGTGCTCACCAATGCTTCCTCTTCATCCTGGAAAGAAGTGACGAGCGGAGTGCCGCAGGGTTCCGTCCTGGGCCCGTCCTGTTCAACATCTTTATTAATGACTTAGATGAAGGGTTAGAAGGCAGGATCATCAAGTTTGCAGACGACACCAAATTGGGAGGGATAGCCAATACTCCAGAGGACAGGAGCAGGATTCAAAACGATCTTGACAGATTAGAGAGATGGGCCAAAACTAACAAAATGAAGTTCAACAGTGACAAATGCAAGATTGGCAGGAAAAACGAAATGCAAAGATACAGAATGGGGGATGCCTGGCTCGAGAGCAGTACGTGTGAAAAAGATCTTGGAGTCCTCGTGGACAACAAGTTAAACATGAGCCAACAATGTGATGTGGCGCAAAAAAAAGCCAATGGGATTTTGGCCTGCATCAATAGGAGCATAGTGTCTAGATCTAGGGAAGTAATGCTACCCCTCTATTCTGTTTTGGTTAGACCACATCTGGAATATTGTGTCCAGTTCTGGGCACCACAATTCAAGAGAGATATTGACAAGCTGGAATGTGTCCAGAGGAGAGCGACTAAAATGATAAAAGATCTGGAGAACAAGCCCTATGAGGAGCGGCTTAAGGAGCTGGGCATGTTTAGCCTGAAGAAGAGAAGGCTGAGAGGGGATATGATAGCCATGTATAAATATGTGAGAGGAAGCCACAGGGAGGAGGGAGCAAGCTTGTTTTCTGCTTCCCTGGAGACTAGGACGCAGACCAATGGCTTCAAACTACAAGAGAGGAGATTCCATCTGAACACGAGGAAGCATTTCCTGATTGTGAGAGCCGTTCAGCAGTGGAACTCTCTGCCCCGGAGTGTGGTGGAGGCTCCTTCTTTGGAAGCTTTTAAACAGAGGCTGGATGGCCATCTGTCAGGGGTGATTTGAATGCAATATTCCTGCTTCTTGGCAGGGGGTTGGACTGGATGGCCCATGAGGTCTCTTCCAACTCTTTGATTCTATGATTCTATGATTCTACATGGAATAGTGGATACAAATCTCAAGAATCTCAAGAAAACATTTCATGTAAACATTAGGAAAAACTTCCTGGTGGTAAGAGCTGTTTGACAGTGGAATATGTACTGTACTAAGTAAAGTACTGGTATTTTTATGTTTGAAATCCTTAATCTGTCACATTAGATTAGAGCCAACACTAGGATCGTAGTGTTCTTTTCCTTGCCTCCCCTTGTGGAGATAGATCCATAAACATGATATGGAAAAATCTCTGGATATTTTTAGGTGGAGGCTGGGTGGCCATCTGTCAGGAGTGCTTTGATTGTGTGTTCCTGAATGATGGGGTTGGGCGTTGTGGTTTCTTCCAACTTTGATTCTGTGTGTGTGTCATCTTATATTTGACAGAGGGGTTGAACCATGTGGCAATCCATTTCCCAAGTATCTTCACATTGCCGCAAAAAAAGATTGAGGCTGTAGAACATCTCCTCAGAGAAAAATGCCTCTTCACAGTGGAACAAGTATCAAAAATACTACAGACATGCCCAGATATCTTGCTTGAGGAACTAAGTGATGTGGAATACAAATTCCAGGTAAAGCATTTTGCACAATATTTTTTGAAACACAGTTTTGCTAATGTGGTTAATTGTATTCATTTTCCATCCATGGCGTAAGTTTCCAGAGTGGATTAGCTAGTTTATACTTTTAGTGCCTTAGTAAACCTCATTTTCAGATGCCAGTAGACCCTATTTATTGTACAGTTTACCTGTTGCTTTAACATGAGATTTCGACTTGATTGTGCTTTTAAAGCATCTTTGAAACTTCCACTCATTTCCAAATACTAACAGAATATATTAGCCTTTATACTTTTCATTTCATTTGTTTGTTGTTGGAATCTGCCATCTGAACTTCAGGAAACGTATCCTTTAATTTTCCTTTGCCATCTATGATCTTTTTCTCTCACAGTTTGCATATTTTAGGATGGGAGTTAAACAAAGAGAAATATTGAATTCTGGTTTCTTCCAAGCATCACTAACTGAAATAAAGAACCGGTTCATCTTCTTGGAGCGCTTGGGACTTTATCAAACTCCTGACAAGAAAGGACAAACTCTGATTGTCAATCCCAAACTGAAAGGCATAATCAGGGCTTCTGAAAATGATTTTGTGACTCGAATAGCATGTTCTACAATGGAGGAATATGAGGTATTTAAGAAATTACTGGTGCGTGAAGAAGAGCAGAATTGGGAAAAGGAAGAAGCAATGAAAAATGAACTCTTGGATTTGGAGAATGATGATGAAGAGTCCGATACAGAATAAGGACATGAAATAAAATCTTACATGCTTTGTACAAGTGGAATCTGTTTGAATCTCCTACTGTTTTTTGTGGATTGAATGTATGAAACTTGGGCATAAGGAGTGGAAGGTAGTCATTCCACAGAAGATTTACTTTTGAAGTTAAAACCTGGTTACTGTCAACTATATGTCTTAATCACCGTTACGATCATTACTACAATAAATTTGTATTCCCATTGTTTTTATGATCATTGTTTTTCACCATTTCCTCTTGTTTCAGCACATGTGTAACTGGTTTTATTTTTGATGCATTTCTGGCATTAGCTATCACACTCCTCAACCCTTTGAAATACGTATGACAGAAATAAATCGGTAAAAAAAGAACTAGTTTCTTTAAGAACCGTAACTTTTGAGCCAGCTTCTGGAACCCAATAATTCTGAAAGAAAACAGGCTGGTTTTAAATAAATTGGATTTTTAATCTAAAATGCAAGACAAAATAACTTTGACATAATAAAATCTTTCTTAGTTTATTGCTGCATTACATATGCCTCATTCTGGCTATAAAATACTGGCTTGATATAGACTCTGTTCTACTTTAGATTGTACCTGGGGAGAAACCAGTTTCAATGTGTGACTGACAAACTGGCTCTATTCTTTAAAGCTTGTGTTGGACTTGAAATAGTATACTATTATCACCCCTTCACCCACTTTTTATAACATTGAAGCTCTTTTTGTAAAAGACATGCCCTGAGCCAGTTATACTGGATCAGTTTACTTGAAGTGCTTGTGGGTAGGATCTCCAGAGAAATGTTGCAGTATCAGACTAGCCATGTTGTTCAATTCCTTTTTCGCTTCCAGCATTGTGTCACAACTGGCCATGTTCAGTCCTTATTGCACTGTTTTTTGTTTTTGTTTTTCCCATTTTAGTTTTGCGAGCCTTTACCTGCTGATACCTGTCTTCTTTGTGTGAGGGATGCTGTTTAACTAAATAAGCAGCAATGCTCACAGCTTGAACATAAGAAACAAGGATATAGCAACATATTTCTTTTTGCTGCTAGGATGTGAATGTACAGATTTTTCTTATGCTGATTTGTTTTAAAGTGGATTAGTAAAAGATAGGCTCCTTAGAGAAAGCAGCACAATTTACAAACTATGCCTAATGCAGTATATCATCCTTAGTGTAGTTCCACTGTCTCATCCTAGCAATCTACCTGAGGCGTCTTTAAGAACACCTCTTCTGATCCTGCTCTTTATCATTTCCCCTCAATGAGTAATCCACATTCCACAGTGCTGCATTAAATGCTGGTGAGTAGGAGCAGGGAAAATTCAAAGATTTAGTGTCAATTCTCCCCTTACATTTCCCCTTCTATCCAAAAGATAGCTATCCTTTTAGGATTATAGAAAGAGCACCACATTTTAAAAATCCTTAGTTGATAACACTCCCCAAAACATGTCAAAAATGATAATTAGCACCTAGGAATGAGTCCAAGCATTTTTGTGGTCTTTCATAATACAGATATGTAGAGCCATTTTGTGCTACTTCTGGGAAGTGAGGGTTGACCATTTTTTTCCTGCTGGGAATGATGCTCTGTTTTTATTGCAAAAAACCTATATTTACAACTCTCAAAGTTTTCCAGGAATAGGGTTCCAGGAAACAGGGTTGATTTTCTGCAAGAACCCAATGGCCTGCGAGAACCTCATTGCTACTGAAGGAATAGTAGTCTAAAACTATAAATGAACCCCTGGCTGTATTAATTTATAAAATATACAGTATGTATATTAACACAATCTTATGTTTAGCTAGTCATACAATCTCAAAAACTAAGAAACAATGACGCTCCTTGAGGGGTGGGCCATCTGTGGTTCCTGTAGGCAACAAGTATCTGGGAAGAAGAATGGAGAAAAATCTGATGTTTTACACTTTCTTCTCCAGTGGCATCCCAAGATGATGTTTTACCCATCTAAAAAGCAGAGATAGAGTGGAAGGGGTTTAAATAGGTCTGCTAATCAATGTATGGTGTTTCCTCGGTTCTATAAATCAGCTTGGCTAGAGGCTTCACTAAATTTCTGTTTTGATCTTTTAAAAAGAAGGTGGACATAGACTCACTAGCATAACTTTTGAAAGATTATTTTGCTAGCAGTCGCACAACATGACTGATTGCTGGCTGTCAAATTTCATGTTTCTTCATCATCAACTAGTCTTCCCAATGACCAATATTTTAAACCTGTAATTGGCTTTGAACACCAAATATTTATGTCAGTGGGATTCTCCTGTTTGGTTGTAATCCAGAAGAGAGGTGGCTTCACCCCCTTCACCCAGACTACTCTTTGATTCAAGGTGGCCTATTAACCTCAGACTACACAACCAGTATCTCAGTTATCGTTAAGCCTGAGCTAGATTCTTGCTGCAAGTAGCCCACAAAGCACTGCAGTCCTGAGAGATTTTTAACTCATTCTGTACAAAAATATTCAGGTGCTATGAAGAAAAGGCATCTGAAAAGACAAGCAAGTCCTTATGATCTTGCCAAAGAGGGAGATGCGGCTCTCTGGTGAGCACAGCTTGAACAAGACAAAGGGGAAAGGGTCCATAGCTCATGCTAGTGCAGTCTCCCCTGCTTCTTTTTCAATCCAGTTTGTAGAAATGCTGAAGGCTTTGGTTCCTATGAAGAAAAACCAATAAATCATGAAGACAATTTTTCGCGCACATATAAACACTGATAAAGCTAGGTTCTTGTAAAGCTATCTGATAAAGCTATTGGTCTTAATTTCAATCCAAAACACCTGTGTTTTGCTTAGAGCAGTTGTTCTCAACCTGTGTGTCCCCAGGTGTTTTGGCCTACAACTCCCAGATATCCCAGCCAGTTTACCAGCTTTTAGGATTTCTAGGAGTTGAAGGCCAAAACTTCTGAGGACCCACAGGTTGAGAACCACTAGCTAAGAACCTTAGGCTTGCCTGTAGCTACCCCTTGCTAGGGAAGGCAACCTGTGATTGAATTTTGTAGCCAGGGAAAGAGAGTCGATGCACCCCTCTGTAATCTCTGGAAGGATGCTGGCCCTCTGGGTAAGCACATGCTTGGAAGTTGCCTTATTTTGGGATATGGAAATACTTCTTCCTCCAATAGCCTCAAGATATGCTGCCATACCCTCAATTGTATGTTATGGACAGTTATCAGAATCAGCAAGTGGATTAAGTCCCTATCATTGTCTAGAGTTGAAATGTGCATCACACAAGATTGCTTAAATCCCAAAGGAAGTATAAATCTGGTGAAGATTTCTGTTGGTACAACCTTGATACCATCAAGTAAGACACTGAATGACTGCAATGAAGTACTCCTTTTCTGCTATAGGCTGAGACAGAGCCTTCAAAGGAAAGCTGCTTTTGATGAGTAGTATCAGAATAAGGTGCCTCTGGCATTTCATTTCTCTACTTAATGTGTTCAGGGAAAATAAATAAAATTGACTGGAGAAGACATTTATAATTTTAGAATGGTCGGACGTACAACATGCCTATGAAGAGTGGAGGTGTCCTCCAGAATTTTTGGGATGTTGTTCATCGAATAATGTCTGATCTTTCTGATACTGGAATCATCCAATGTCTTCATGTAATAAAAGTATTCTAATATTTTCCTGTTTCACTGTCCCACTGAAAAAATCTACAAAACAGCTTCTTTTCATACTAGACCAGTCATTTCATCTTTCAATGTCTCCTTAACAAGGGGGAGGTAGCTGTTACCCCATGTAATAATAATAATAATAATAATAATAATAATAATAATAATAATCCTTTATTTGTACCCCGCTACCATCTCCCGAAGGACTTGGTGCGGCTTACAAGAGGCCGAGCCCAAATACAACAATAAAACAACAACAACAAACAGATAAAGAACACCCATCGTATCCCCAATTGTGAAGAATGACAAAAGGAGCACAGCACAGGGAGCAGAATAAGGACATACTCTAGGCAAATTCTTTTTTGGGGGGAGCCCTTATCCCACCTACTTTCTAGTAGAGATACTTACGATAAGGCTTCAGTGTCTAGTAGTTTGTTTTCTGAAACAAGAGAAAAATGAATGCATGAAACAAACAAGACAGTGCTGCTTGTTCTGCAAAAAATTACTTCTTTTATTTTAAGGAACTCCACTGTGCTAACAGTACTTAGCTCCCAGAATAGAATTTCACTTCCACAGGATTCATGTAGAAGCAATATTATTGACTGAGGTTCCCAGTGGGAGTCTTAATGTTGTGTTTTAAGGCCATGAGTTGCTTTGAGCCTCATTTAAGACAGGCAATTGGAGTATAAATAAAATATAACAACAATAATAATGTGTTTCACATAGTTATGGTACACGTTATAAGCCTTGGGAGAACTTAATCCAAGGTAAGTAGCTATAGTTCTGCAACCTTAGAGCTCAATCCTTACCTATGAAGATGGCAAGGGCCAGCAATGCTATTGCAAGACCAAATAAAGATGTGTTGATTCCAGGTCCTGCCCAAACTCTGGCAAAGTACCTAGACTACTGTTGCCATTTTTAAAGTATCTGAGGGTATCTCTTGATTGGAGGAGGTTTGAGTATGCTGTAATGCAGATTTAGGCCATTCTGTCAGTAGATCAGCAAAAGGGCAATTCTGTCAGCACCAGAAGGTTGTTCCTTATCTCCAACCCCTACAGCTGACACATCTTTGAGCAAAGATTACACTAGTAAGCACCTAAGCTAGGAGACCTCTTCCCAAATAAAAATTTAGATGATATAAACATTTGGATGCTTTTAGCTATCCTAAAGAACCAGTCCACTAAAAAATAGCAATTGCCCCCAGATTTTCCGTACACTGTTTGCTTTCCATAAAATTGCCAAAGGTGCATTACCTGCTGAGTGCCTTATTCGTAACAGTGCTCTCACAGCTCTCCTTGTAGCAGACATCCTGGTGCACTTTGTAGACTCTCTTGTATCTATCCCAACAACAAAATGTGGAAAACAGACATTGGCCATAATGGAGTATTCTGTAAGTTGTGATGCACATGTATACCGCTTGAGCCTTTTTCAGTTTCACTAGCATCCCAACTTTGAAAAGAGAAACTTCCAAGACACATTAGAATTATGTCCTCCATCTCCTAGGTACCCAAATCTCACTATAAGTATTATCCTGTCATAGCTTAGTAGTTAATGGACATTATTCCTTGACATTATCTCCAAAGCTTTTACATTATTTATATTATTTTAGAAAGTAGCCAGAAAACTTTGAACTTGT